ACCACGAGTTGGAACTGACTGAATGGCAGCTGGTGTATAGAAGAGCAAGATCAACACAGTATTTCATAAAATGGCAAAGGCTTCATGTAATATCTGAAGTTAAGAGAGAAATCTAGCAGGCTTTCACATGAAGATAGACTAGAGAAGAATTCTAAATTCTAGAGGTTTACTTAGAATCTGTTTTTTTGCACATTAAATTTAGATATTAAGGCAGAGGGGAAAACAAAAGGATTACTAGTAACCTGGTATATGTTGCTGCTATGTGTAAAACTGGATCTACAAAAACCTGCCTATTATATGGCTTCAGTAATTTTACTTAAAATTTCAACTAAGGTCTGATTGGTTTCTTCCAGGCATCATTATTGATTTTACTCTGCCACTAAATTTTCAGCACATCCAGATTGAATAGTAATGGAAGAGCAATTCAATATGTGCTATGCCACCTCTCTTAACATGGTCTTTTGATAATTTAATTTTTTCACTCAAGAAACATTGTCAAGAGGCTATTTTGAAATAACTGCAAGACAAATTTTATGTATTTTTTCTTCATTAAACACCATGATGATTTGTGGTGCAGTGGTTAAGAACTCAGCTGCTAACCAAAAGGTTGGCAGTTCAAATCCACCACCCCTTAGAAATCCTATGGGGTTGTTCTACTTTGTCCTGCGGGGTCGCTATCAGTCGGAAACCACTCAACGGCAATGGTTTTTTTGTTTTAGTATTAACAAATTACATTTATTCTAAGCAATTTTTAAAGATCCCATCTGTATATTCATATGAGGTATGCAATAAATATTTATTGAATAGATAAATGGTCATATACTTTGGAGAACATTCCATATCACTGCACTTCAAACTACCTCATTCTTTTAAACACTACAGAGTATTCCATTCAATGGTTACACCATAGCGTATATATTCAACCAATTCCTTATAGACATTAGGGTCACCACATGTTTTTAAAGGGCAAGCATCTGAGTTTTCAGTAACTCAATGTCAGGCAGCTCATAAAAACAAAACACCAGCACTGAGGTCTAAATAAAATATTTTTTAAAACAAAATGTCCTGCATTCCAAACAGATTAATCATCTTATTCAATTCAGTATCCCCTTTCAGTTATGTATGTAACTCATGCCACTTTACCGTGTAGTTATTTCTTTTTTCATCTAGATTTGTAGTATTTCCCCCAAAGGGGTTTTCTTTTTCTACTTTGTTAAAAATCTCCTTAAAGGCACTACTGAAAATGTACGTAAGATAATGTATATGGAAACACTTTGTAAAGAATAAAACATTATTCAGTGAAAGGTACAGTCATGAGAAAAATGAAGTGTACCTAGCAGATACTCAGTAAATCTGTTACGCAGTCATACAAATAATATGCTGTCTATCTGTGGAAGGGGATTATTCCCATATTTTACTGATTAACTGACAGGATGTAATGCAGTGAAGCTATCCTTTTGCCTCACCTAGAAGCACTTCCAAAAGCAAGGGGGGAGAAAAAGCAGAAAATAGCAGATAAGTGGCTAAACTTTAAAGGTATTTTTTTTGGTAAACCATATTTAACCTGCTACCTTATTCATAATTTTTTTTTGTCATAGTAATCCCATAGGATATGAGGTACAATATATATATGCCCACTCCTTACCTAAGAGTGGTTCTAGATGCCACGTGTTACACTCATAGAAGAAGGAGACACATTCCACCCATTTTATCCCTAGACCAGAAAAATTCATCTAAATGGTACAGACAGCTGCCTTTCCTGCAGCTTGGGGTGGGGGAAGAGGGGAGGAGAATATGCTACTCACCTTTTTCTTTTTCTTTTAAATAAGCTGACACTAAATCATGAAGAAACATGATGAGCTCAGCATCCATAGTCACACAAATGTGGTCTGTAAACTCTGTCACCACACTACATTCTACCTTTGGCTTCAGACTGGCGTCTGCAATGATAAAGTTCTTTTATAGTAATAGATTTCATAAAATAAGTTCCTTCCTCTTCCTGTTAAAAAGGGATTTACATGGGTCTATGCATCCTCTTCACATGAACTATAGAGAAATGAGTCATTTCTGTATGTGATTTATAGAATGGTGATGATAGGTTATTAAGCACATTCCCAGTATATGCTATATATTCACACAACAGCCCTATGAATGATGTCCTATTACTATTCCCCATTTTACTTAGGAGAAGGAGGCACAAATGGGTTAAACAATTTGCTGGAAGTCACAGAGCTAGTAATAAAATCAATCACTTTGAGACATAAAATCAATATTATTACATCATATTAATGTTACAAAAATAATCTGTGGGAAAACAGCAGTAGTTTGAGCTTCCGTTAGAATTTTCTTAGTACCTATAGAAACTAAAGATGATTTTTTCACATACCCTGTAATGAAGGTTCTTGTGGTTCTTGAACATGAATGGATTTAAAGTCAAGCTGCATCCTCGGTAACGCAAAGATAGTTTCAGTTTCATGATTGTAGCTAGAACCTCCTCTGAATCCACTTAACAAACTAGAATTTTTCACAGTGGTGCTACTTTCAGTGTTATTAGCATCGACATTACGAAGTAGGTTTAGCTCTACATGCATAACAATAAAGACAACAAGAATTAAACCAGTAGGCATTGATAATCAGTTAACTTTCAAGGTACTATGATACGCAGAACTTTTTTCACTTCAAAAGTTAGAAAGTTCAGAGTCACTTTTTGGTTTTAAAAAAAAACAGGGAATAATATATACATCGGTATTCTCAAGACTAAAGCTTTGTATAAGATTTAGGATTAATCCACTACATTTTTTTGGTTTCCCTAACTTTAAAATGAATGTTGTTTTCAACTGAATTCATGTCTAAATTTAACAATTAAAATTATATCCCAAGTTGTCCATAGAGTGAACCCTCCACTCTTACAGAATTTGGGATTAAATGTGACCTTGACCTTGAAATCAGGTAGAAGTCTTGATTTTCCCATAATATAAGTGCTATGGTTAGACTATGGCTTTCTCACAAAAATCTGCATTTCTCTAGGTACACAAACAACAGTCCCATATGCTAATAGCCCCTCCAGAGCATCCTAGCCAGAAAAAATCTCCTCCCCCAAATCCCTATTTAGAAGACTAGTCAATACAGGCATAATCTTCTAATTTACTTTCTTATCTGCCTTTATTCTTAGAACATTTAAAAAAGTCTCTATTGAATCTGTGGGATCTCCTATTCCATGGTAACTATTTTCTATGGGGCCTAAATCATCTTTTCCATTTTCACTAAAATATTCAAGTTTTAACATGTCTCAATTCAGTCAGCTTTCCAATACAGATGAGATGATTGGTAAAAGCACTACTGTAAACTCAACTGTAAGAAAACAGCCATAAAATAAGAGGTCCCATGACTACATTACTGTAAGATTGGTGAATCTAATCAAAGGAAAGAACGCATCAAAAACACTGTGAAACTTATGACTTAATAGGAATAATATTACTTGGTTTCATTCGTTCTAGTCATTCCAAACATTAAATCTGTGGCATTCTACTATTTAGCTGAGTTAATGTTTCCAAACTTCCAATTTTTGCCTTCCTACAAATATATTTTCCAATGATAATTATAATTATTTAAAATAAACTTTATTTTGAATGTTTTAAGTTAAATCTAATATAATTTGAGAGTCTATGAGCTGTTAAGATGCCCTGGTGGCGCACTGGTTAAGCGCTTGGTTGCTAACCAAAAGGTCGGCAGTTTAAACCCACTAGCTGCTCTGTGGGAGAAGATGTGGCAGTCTGCTTCCATAAAGACTACAGCCTAGAAAATCCGATGGGGCAGTTCTACTTTGTCCTATCGGGTCACTATGGGTTGGAATCAACAGCAACGGGTATTAGATGTTACACTTACCAGGCTGCTGAATCATGTACTAAACAATCGGTACTTATGTCAGAGGAGTAAAATAAAACTTTTTAATTAAGGAAATGAAAACTACCTCCACTTAAATTCTAAATACAGTCAACAGAACCCAAAGTAGAAAAGACAAAATAATTCTCTCCAAAGAAATTAAATTTTAACCTTCATTCCTCGTGGCTGTAACATAATTGAACCATTCTTTCACGCTTGCTACTCCGTGGGGTGGATTTTCATGGCGACGCCGTGTTATCTTAGTTATAGTTGCCATGGGACTTTCCAAAGCACCGCATGGTTTGGTAACCATGGTATTATGACCCAGATGAAAATCCAATGTTTGTACAATATATGTAGAATGATCACTGGCACCTGATGAAAAACAAATGTTTTTTAAAGTTAACAACATATATTTAGGTATAAAAAAAGTTGTGGCCCCAGAGCAGTAAATTTAGCTATGTCATACACAGACAGGTAAGGCTGTAAGACTGAGTGAGGATTAAGGAAAAAAAAACTCACAAATAATTTTTTCCTTTTATTAATTGGTTTTACCCCCAGTAAGATGAAGAGCAGCAATCATTTCTTTATTCATTATTAAGAAACCATCAAGTAGGCAATTATAGCTAAAAGGGTCTGGGCTAAATCGAGGTATAAAGCACAGCCTTGCCCATAAAGTTTTTACAACGTAGTCTTGACCGGCAAATAATTTCCTCATGTCTTCTCTTCTTGTTTTAATAATATTTACAAAGATTATTATTATGACCGCTGCCAGCACAGTTGCAGAAACTTTGACTACGTAAAAAACGGAGTAAGACGACAAGTTCTGAAATAGATCCTTTAACGTGTTCTAGACTTCACTGACATCACCTCATTGGCAGTGAACACCCTGACATGTCAGGTACATGATAACAAACAGAGATGAACTTCAGAAATATTAAAAGAAAAACAGACAAAAGCGGTAAGAAAGGAAAATTACTTTGTCATTTATAATCATATCAGAAGACAGAAAAAAGTAAAAGCTAGAAATGTGTCAGTTTACCATCTTCCCAGATTTTCTGAGCTTCAGTCCAAAAAGCAATATTTGGTTCTTCTAAATGAAAAAGGGCCCAGGATTTTGAACGGAAATTTGGACCGTGAAAACAAGCCAGTGTCATATGATTTCCATGTAAGCTCATTGACCCTCCAAACTGCATTCCATCTTCTGGTAATGGAATCTGAAATAAGGATATGTGGCATCCTGATACCACCTTCAATACTCCGGGCCAATGACGATGATGAGCTGCATCAAGCACTGCAAAAAACCAACAGAATTTATCCTGAAGTGCCTCATGAATATTCTGATTAGGGGAGTAGGAAGGCAGCAGGTGGTTACTTTCTACAGCTGAACATGACTTTAGTGTGGGAGGGAAACAATTACCAGCACCTGCTCAACATGAAGCAGTAGCTAGTAAAGAGACTGGAAAAAGATGCTACATGAGGATGGATAGAGGTAAAGGAAGTATGTAGTAACTTACTAATATTAATTACAACTAACACTTCTGTAATGATTAATGATTTACAAAGTGCTTGACTTCAATTTATATAATTCTGACAATAACCTTGTAAACTAGGTATTTATTTCATCTTGACAATTTTCAAGTGAAGAAACAGAAGAACAGAGGGGTTAAGTGAATCAATGATTGGAAGACCTAGAAATCAAATGCAGATCCCCTGATTTTAAGTCTACTGTTTTTTACTCTTCTGTATCCTTGCTACTCAAGATGAGGTCTGAGGACTAGCAGCATCAGCATCACCTGGGAGCTTGTTAGAAATCCACTTCATACCTACCCTATCAGAATCTCTATTTTAATAAGATTGCCGCGGGTTTCAGATGCACATTAAAGTTTGAGAAACACTGATCAAGAATAAAATTCATATTCATATTTTCCCACTTATGCCAGTAATGTCCTTTTTGGCTGTTTTTATACACTGTATTTACTTGGCACATCTCTTTAGTTTCCTTTAATCAAAAACAATTTCCTAAGCCTGTTTGTTTTTCATGACAAGGACTTTTTTGAAGTGTCTGGTCCAAGTGTTTTGCAGAACATCCCTCAATTTGTATATGCCTGATAAAAATTCTATTTTAAAGGAAATACAGAGACTAGAGGAACAAATCAAATGATGTATTGCATTGGGCAAATCTACTGCAGAAGACCTCTTTAAAAGTGTTAAAAAGCAAAAATGTCACCTTGAGGACTAAGGTGCTCCTGACCCAAGCCATGGTATTTTCAATCGCCTCATACACATGTGAAAGCTGGACCATGAATAAGGAAGACCAAAGAGGAATCGATGCCTTTGAATTATGGTGTTGGCAGAGAATACTGAATACATCATGGACTGCCACAAGAATGAACAAATCTGTCTTGGAAGAAGTACAGCCAGAATGCTCCTTAGAAGTGAGGATGGCAAGACTTCACTTCACATACTAGGGACCAGTCCCTGGAGAAGGACATCATGCTTGGTAAAGTAGAGGGTTAGTGAAAAAGAGGAAGACCCTCAAGGAGATGGATTGACACAGTGGCTGCAACAATGGGCTCAAACACAGCAGCAACTGGGAAAATGGTGCAGGAACAGGAAGTGTTTCATTCTGTGGTATGTAAGGTTGCTGTGAGTCGGAACCGACTTGATGGCACCTAACAACAACAGAGGAACAATAACAGAAGCAACTGAAGAGTTCTAGAAGGTAAGACATTCTGTGGGACAAGTGGCTAGATCCTGTCAACAAGTTAGGTCATAAAAAAAGGGACTGTGTTCAATTAAAAGAGTGAACGAACATAACCAGATCTAACCTGTGATCTTGGACTGGATGCTGGTATGGACAAACCAGTTGTAAAGGCTATTTTTGGGTCAGTTGTGGAAATCTGAATGTGGTCTGAATATTAGAGGAGAAAATTAGCAAAACAGAAAGTTGGATACTGTCAGCTAGAAAAAGGTAACAAAACAATAGGAGCAATATTTTGCTAAAAAGTATACATATATCTATCGATATAGAAAAGTTTTTGGAAAGATATACTCTAAGGTATTAAGTGGTGATTTCTGGGTGGGTGGAATATGATTTTTTTTTTTTTTGGATTGTATGTATTTCCTAGTTTTCTTCACTGCATATGTACTACTTTTATGATAATAAAAAGTTATTAAAATGTATCCTAATTCTGACTACTTTCTATCAGTCCACTCAAAGCCAACATAATCTCTTGTCCAAATGATGGCAGTGGCCTCCTAATGATCTCCTTACTTCCATTCCAATAAAACCCAAAACCAAACTCGTTGCCATCAAGTCAATTCTGACTCATAGCTATGAGTCCATTCCAATGTTATCCGCTTATTGTCTGTTCTCCACAAAATGACCAGAGTGATGCTTTAAAAGGGATATTTAAAGAAAAAAAGTAAATCAAATGATGTCAGCTCTGTTCAAAACTCTCCAATAGCTATCCTTTGTATTAAAAATCTGATCTGTGGCCCACCTCTCTGAATTCATGTCTAACCCTTTTCTCCTGGCTCGCTCTGCTCCAGTCACGGTGACCACTTTCATGTTCCTCAAACAAGCCCAGTTTGTTCCTCCTACTGCAAGAGATTTGCATCCCTCAGTGGCCCCCATGCCTGGAAGTTATCCTCTCTACATATCTTAACCTACTTCTTTCACTTCATTCATTATTTCCACTAAAATGTCCCTTAGAGAAGTTTTCCCTGACCACCCTATCTAAAGCAGCTACCTTCACACTCTACATCATTCTTGATCTCTTTCCCCTGCTTTGTTCTTTTTTCAACCCGTCTCTCTACCTGAAATAATCTCATTAGTGAAGTAGTTATGGTCTGTCTCTTCCCTTAGAATATAAGCTCCATGAGGGTAGGAACTTTGTCCCCCACCAGATCTCCTACACCTAGAACAGTGCCTAAGCACATGGTTTTTACTTAATAAATATATGCTGACTGAATTGAGTGAAAAGAATGATCCACCTACTGTCATAGAGCTCAGAAATTCAAACCCAGACATTCTAACTCCATAGCCTCGTTCTAAACTAGAACATGATACTGTCGTAGTTCGTATTCAAGAGAATGGAATGGGTATGGTTGCAGACAAGTTAATAGCACAGAGAGAGGATAATAAACAATGACTTCCCAAGGATGGCCTCTATTTCCACTAGCAGACAGGTTCTTTGCTGAGTAAAGGAGCAGGGAAATGGGACTACTTTGTGAGTATGGTATATAGATTATTATTATTACTATTACTTTTTATTAAAATTGTAACATATTTACTGAAAAATAAAGCATATATAAAAAGACTTAGTTCTAATTCTTACATTGTTCTTGTGAACTTTTCTCTAGGTTGTTAGTCACTGTTTTAGGTGGAAGGTAAGGAACTGGTCCCCAGGTAGACAGGGCTCGTTTGCTGGTGTCAAACTGCTGTGTGAAAAATTCCTGGAGCTTCATTCCTATTTTTATCAGGTCTGGTGTGGTTGATCTTGATATCATTACTTGGAAAATATCCCACTTCAAATCTCCATGGACAAAAATTTCACTAGAGCATAAAACAGAATCTTTATCACATTTCTTAGAAGTACAAGAAAAATTATCTTCCCTACCCAGCTTTTTCATTCATAATTAATTTCATAATATAAAATCATTTTGCAGGAAAAATGAATTGTTTTAGTTTTCTCACTGGATGATAGAAAATAAGAGCAGCCCTGTAAAGTGTTCAAAAGCAATGTTTTACTTAATACCTTTTATCAGTCATGCTTGAATCCAATGCATTATACAGGTTTACTTTCCATTCATCCTGAAGCTTAAGATCGGCATTACTGAAGATCCCCATAAGGATACTTGAGCCCATGTAATCAACTCGAGCTTCAGTAGAACCCATAGTAATCTGAATTTTGTGACTGGGTTGCTGATTTGGATGTTCAGAGATGTGAGCTAAAAGAGAAACAATAATTGCTTTTCACAGAAATGCCTAATGGGAAAAACTCATCAAAATCAATTTTCAAAAACCTTTTCTCAGTAAATTTTTTGGAGATATAATAGATCAGTTGTAAAATTTCAACATACCAACCATCTCCAAAGCATTGACATCGATGGTCCCTCCAACTACGCCTCCTTTAGAATCTAACTGTGATCTTCCCAGACCCACAGACATGCTAATCTCTCGATCTCGATTACTTCCTACTGACAGGCGGCCTTGGCTCTTCAAACCACTAGTTGTCCAACTGAGAAAAGGAAAAAGGGTTATTAATTAGACATATGGCTGCCAATGTTGTGAATTAAAACAGACGATTTAAATAAAAGGTCAAGTGTTATTTCTTATATGTGGCAAATGTTTGAATATTAACATTGATGAAGAAGCTTTCTTCCCATCTAGAAAATTACTGTTTTCCTTCTTTCTAGAGGAAATATATTTTATATTACAGTATCCTTGGGATTAAGCCATTTTTAGGATAACACTATTTATATCTTTTATCTATCATTTTTGTTGTCTCAAATAACAGCATATAAAAGGTTTTGAATTGCTTTACTACAATAAAAAAATTACAACTAATGAGTGAACATTTTTTCTTTGCATATGAACAGCTTACGTTGTATTTCCCATTACATTACTCATATTCATTTGAACGTTTAATTGCTTCAAGTTGATAGCAAACACGACAAGTGTTTCCCACGGGGTCCCTTGTTGGCTTGCTGCTTTGTTTGATTTGTTAAAAGGAGTTGATGTTTTTGAAAGTGAATCTGAAAATAGAAAAATCAAATGTTCATTTGGAAAGATGCCCAGCCAATTAAAAGGAAAATGCACTCACCACTATAATCAAAAAAGTAAAAATATGATATTCTTGTATTATAACCTCACATTTAATACTTGCCATATTGCCTTTAAAATAATACTGAATGCTTAGTAAGTTCTGGCAACTTTACTTCTTGAAAGCTCATAAAGTTCTATATAACTTCCATTTTATATGAGGAAATACTGGGGTGCAAGGGACATAGCAGAACAGATAATTCATCACTCTGGGATCTTCTTAATAAAGGAGATAATCATAAGGTACCACTGCCAAATTAAGGGCTTGAAGGCAAGGACAATTCTGAAATCCCAAGGCTGGCTGGGGTGCCTGTCTTCTGTGTTCTTATGAACCCAGTGTATATCTTGAATCCTCCACTTGTTCGTTATACTCTAATTTTACCTTCTGACAAAAACTATGCCATTATTTTTCACATGTTCAGGCACAAGTACACTGCCTGGAACATAAAAGGATTCAAAAAACACTGGCTGGAAAAAAGAATGACTGACTGAATACGAAGATCAACTTTCTCAATATGAAAGCATCTCTTGGGACTTTTACAACACTGTAGGCTTGTTTTCTTTCTGAAGATGATTGTACCATATGTAGTACACTAACAAGATGCTTATTCCTGTCTCCCAATCCCCTTTCAAAGCTACCAGCCATCTAGCTGTCTCTTCTGCTGGCAATATCTTAAGTTTTGTTTTTTTTTAAATGGTCTGTCATAAAAACCTGTAAGAGTACATTTCCCTGCCCTTGGGGCAGAAATCTGGGGATACTAATTTGAATTTCTGTCTTAGGGCACTGGCAGACTCCTGATAACAAAGAGAGCAGAGTTACCTCTAAGGGGAACTGAAGAATCAGACACGCTCCTTGATCTTATGGAAGCTGGGGATTTTAGGCTGTGTGCTGCCGTCCCTGGTGACATGGTGCTGTTTGTTACATGCTCATTGAACACATTAGGTGACTGAGGCATGTGGGTGAAGGAGGCTGACTGACTGGGCTGCTCCCAGGTCCTGCAGTAAGCTTTTCTTGACGATTCAGGGGAAAGGTGCTGGCTCACCCCTTCAATGGAATCAGGTGTCCCTGGGCCAGATGCTAGCAGATAAGTAAGAGGAACAAACAAAACAAAGCCATTTGTAAAATCATCATGTTACAAAAAAAAAAAAATAATGTTTATCCATCCATCATTTCAAATTATATCACAAGTTCTTTCTAGTTTTCTGTTTGGTAACTATAGAGCAACTGACAGTTTGCAGAGTCCATTCTGGCAAGTTATTTTATTTACTTCTCAGAGAAACTCCATGAGATGGGCAGGATAGGCACTCGGTTCCTATTTTATAGATGAGTGACTAGACCCAGGTTTTCCAATATTGTCTACAGTATTACGCTGACTGTCACTTCTGAAACTCTCTTCTTATGCACAACATACTACTACAATGACATGTAAGTGCAAGCATAAAATGCAAGCAAGATGGTGGCATGCCCCCAACATTTTCTCTTTTCCACCCTTACCTGATTAACATGGTTAGCTAAATGTATTTCTACATTTTCAGATTTTACAAAGAGTACAGAGTAATCTTTATAGAATAAAATGCCAGCTAGAATGTAATCTCCAAGAAGGGAAGGTTTTTGTCTATTTGGTTCTATGATATGTCCCCAGTGCTAATGTATCCCAAGTATCTGGCACATCTGTTGTTGTCTGCCATCAAGACGATCCTGACTCATAGCCGCCCTATAGGACTGAACAGAACTGCCCTACAGGGCTTCCTAGGCTGAAATCTTTATGAGAGCAGATTGCCAGGTCTCTTCTCTCACAGAGCGGCTGGTGGGTTCAAATTTCCCACCTTTCAGTTAGCAGCCAAGCACTTAACTATGCTACCAGGGCTCCTTCTGGCACATTAGAGAGGTCAATAGACACTTCTGAGTGATGGGTGAATCTCACGGTACTACTTACCAGATAAGAGAAAGTTTGCGTTATCAATCATGAATCTTGTTACTATTATAACCAAAATTAACAGCAACCTAATCATAATTACATGATAAACTTACTTGGCAAATTTATAGTTTGGTCTCCAAGGAAAAGGCGTCTTGCAATACTTCTCCTATACCAGGCTCTCGGAAATGCCAGAATTTCACTGAGTCGGCGCATGTCATATTTAAACGAGGCAGACCCTATATCACAAACAGCTGATACATAAATAAATAAAATTTGTTAGAACTTGGAAAAAATTTACAAAACCTTGAATATTCTCACAATGTAGGCATAATAAGACATATAGCTGAATTATAATTACGTTACAATTCATGAAATATCAAAATAAGTTACATATTATGGTTGGTGAGTGATACTGTCTTCCACAAATTACAGAACTAGCACATTCTAACATTATTAATCCCATTTCCTTTCTTGAGACAAGGTCAGGTTGGAATTTTATTATCACTTTATCATGAAATTCCCAGAGAGGTATTAAAGATCTGTCTTACAGCCAGCTTTCAACTTTAACATAGGGTTCTTCTCAAATAAGGAAAACAAATTATCAAGATGAGCTAGGATACAGATTTCCTCAAAAGTACTTACAAACTGATAGCTGTATGGCAAGGACTACTATGTTCCTCTCAGACAAAAAGCAGTGACTTGTCGGTCTGAGAGCATTCTGATGGGTTCTGCCACGAGCACTCCTCTGCTCCTGCTTTTTGTGCTCTTCTGCTCCTCACCATTATGTCTGTAGAATTCATCTGCCAATGACTCCCACATCTAAAGTTTCTGTTTCAGCCTGAGCCCAGCCCATCAGCCAGTTGCCTACGGGGTGCTTCTACCTAAATATCCTACAGGTATTTCCTTCTTTATTTTCTATATTTACAGTTAATGGTCTCACTGCCCCCTCAGTTACCTAAGACAGAAGGCTGAGGCATCCTTGTCTCCTCTACTGCCCTTCCCACAGCTTGTCCTCAAGCTCGTGGACCCTCCTGTATCTCTCTGGAACCACCTCCTCTTCTCCTTTTTAACTGTCACAGTTCACAGCCTTCATCTCCTATTGCTGGGTCTATGTCAACAGCCTTCTGAAGCGTCTTTTCTCTCTCATCTTCCAGGATACCACCAACTCCCTTTCTAAAACACCAATCTGAAAACATCATTCCACTTCTTAAAAACCTCTAATGGCTTCTCATTGTCCAAAGGGTCAGAATCTGATTCTTTAGCTTGGGATACAAGTCCCCCACAATCTGGTCCTGATCTATTTTACCAGCTTTACCCCTAACAACTTCTCTTTCCCTCTGTCCTGACCTACTTTGTACAACCAATTAAATGTTCAGTTATACCTATACTTCAGTCATAATGAACCAAAAGTATGTTTTAAAAGCATACTTTCTGATGCTTCTGTGTCACTGAATACCATGTTGCTATAGCCAAGAACATTTTTACTCAATTTTCAAGATTTAGCCCAAATATCATTTCCTTTGTGAAGCCTTCTCTGATCTCCCACATAAGACGGCATTTATTGTTTCCTCTTCTTTATATAAACCTCTGTTGTAGCATTTATCACATTGCATTACCGTTTATCTCCATATAAAACCTTGCCTTAATTCATGTTTGTTCTCCTCAATCACCTAGCACAGTGCCTGGCACAAGTTCCTGTAAAATACTGGTTCAGTGTATGTTTGCTGAATGAACACTGGTTGATCATATATACCACATCTGTTCAATTAATAATTATAGAACTTTACACTCACATAGTACTCTGAATTTTTAAAAACATTTCACATGCATTTGATTTTAAACACTCATATCACAATGCAAAAAAGATAAGTGAATAAGTGATTGGCGCATAGTCATACAGCTAGTTTTAAAGCTAGAGATACAAACACACAACTTAAGATCTTCTGACATCAAGTATAGTGTTTTTTTTTTTAACATCACTCATCTTCCTTTAGTGTTTTAAGAATTTAAATTAGAAAATAAAAATAAAAAAAACAAACAGCAGAAATTTTACCAATTCATAGTAGAGAAGCAGTGAAGAAGCACATTTCAGTGATTTAATTAGGTGTATTTTGGCCCTTGAGTGATAAATAATATTTCAAACATTTATCATTTGGATTCATACCTCTCCTTTAAAAATCAACATCATCAAAAGCTTAACATTATTAAATATATTTAATATGCAAACACTGTTAAAAGAGAAGCCACCATTTAATTCTGGAAAATAACATTTTGATTTAAAAACTATAAAATTGAATACCTGATATATTTATTAATGTAGTGTCCATTTTGCTTGCAGACTTGCTTACAGACTGACTTTCAAAAAATGACGCACCTCCTGAACGTCTTATCCGAGACAAACTCACTTTTACAAATTCAAGGTTAATACTGAGGGAGTCTTTCCGACCAGTGACTGAAGTGGGTTCCTCATCCACATTCCCTTTAAAAAAAAAAACCACACACACACACACACATATATGTATATGTACATATACATAAATACACACAACTATCTAGTCAGATGAAAATTACTCCATATACTGGAAGATGCCATCAGTTAAATTCAAGCAGAATAATAAGCATTAGAGTTCCTAACAGTAGTTGAATGGGTTCAATACTATACACATGACTGGTGAGTTTTACAACCATTCCCCAAAGACACAAACTAGAATTGACGTGGAGTGTATGTCTTCGTTATTTATGTAAATATTAATGGAGACATTCACTAATACCAAGATCTTACGTAGTTCCAGTAGTTCAACTGAACTTTAAAATGCCAGTGAAATTTAAGTTTTCTAAATGACTTAATTGTCTCATTTTAAATTAATGTGAGCTGCACACATTAAGATTTTACTATTTTTACAGTATAAATTCTTATACAAATAGAGAGTTATTTGGTAAAACATTTAAACATTTAGTAACATAAGTAACCTTTGATCTTCAATGAGATTACTGTGTTGTATATATCATCTATACAATTTTCTGAAATTTTTTATTCTTGTGTAATTAATATACTTGAATCACTTATTTCATATTCCTATTTAGTCTACAGGGACAAGATGGATCTTATCAAAAGGGAAAATATAAAAAGTTTCTGATCTTGCATTGTATCCATTATTAAAGGCACCATGATTTCTAAAAAGATGAAAGCTTGAAAAGATGCAATAAATTTGAACAAGACACAGACATGCTCAGTATACCTAATCCTCCTGATACAGGTGTGAGTCCAGAAATGGCAGTTTTTTGTTTCCCTGCTCCATATGGATGAAATACATAAAGGGAAAAGTCAGACATGCATGCAGTGAAGCTCAAGCCAGAGGAACTGCTGCTGGAACTGGTCAGATCTGACTGACTACTACTATGTCGACTTCTGCCAAGAGGGCTGCCTAATCCTGATGAACCTACAGTGGACACAAGAAATCCAAAATATTTATAAGCCACAAGGAAATAAAAAAAATCCAGTCACTAATATTATGTTCTCAAAAACCAAACATAACTGCAAAATAAGTGGAAACACTCAAAACTTTACTACTCATTGCTGTCGAATCGATTCCGACTCATAGGGATCCTACAGGACAGAGTAGAACTGCTCCATAGCGTTTCCAGGGAGTGGCCAGTGGATTTAGCGGCCAAGGCTTAAGCACTGCGCCACCAGGGCTCCAAAAACTTTACTACATCAATAGATTTAAATTTTGAAATAGAAATGAGGACTTAGGATGCATTTTCCAATTACTTTTCTCTGTAAGCCAGAGCTGAATACTCTCCTGACCTTTAAAATAATTATTTGTATGTATGCTTAGCCAACTATATGGTTCCTTATTTCTTTTCTCCTTTGCTCTACTGGAAGCAGGCAGTGGAAGAGGCCCAAAATAGTTGGGGTTGAGCAAAAGGGGGAGTAGAACAAACTGTGTGAAAAACACATCATACAACTTGAGTCCACAGTTCAGCAGCTAACAGTGGAGATGTAACAAGGGATGTGATGCAGAAAGGAAAACATCTCTCTTTCAAAGAGAGCAAGTGCACTTACTGGCAACATTTACCAGGGATGGACAGGCTAATTTCAAATATGCTTTAAAAAATATGGATATTGTGACAACTTATAATTTCTATACATTTATACTCATCATCATTTCCTCTTGAATGTTTTATGATGATAAAATGAGGGGTACTATTTCATTTTTGTGTTTTCTAAAGAATCAAAATGTAGGCATATTTCATATACTTTTCCCTAAATATTCCTAGCACAGTACATATATATGAAACTCTAGTAATCTAAGTGTTAATAATTTATGTGACATTTTGTCATTAACAAGGTGAACATCCCAACAGAAAAATGGGCAAGAACATATGTTTATCTCCCCCCACAGCCAATAAATTAATAAAATGCAAATAAAAATAATAAAATCCCATTTTAATCCATTCCAATGACAACGATTAAAAACAAATTTAAAGTATAGTGTCGAGGTGAGTGCAGTAACTTGATGTCCACACACACTATGGTGAGGGTGTAAAATCTGACAGTCTTACTAGGAGTAAAATGTATCAAATGCTTTAAACGCTCTCCAACCCTGGAATTCCACGTTTTAAGAATTTATCCTAAGGACATTTATAAATATTTATATATAAAGATGTTCATCACAATATTATTTACAAAATTAAAAGCTAAAACAAAAACCTCAAGGAATCCCAAATATATGATCCAAAAGACAGAATATTATTGCAGCCATTAAAGTTAACTTAAGGAAGGAACATTTAATGACTTGGGAAAATACATATGATATTTTAAATTTTAAAAAGTTACACAACAGAAGAAACCTATTTCAGTTTTGCTTGGAGAAAAGACTCTCCCTATAAAAATACTGGAGAGTGGGAACTGATAATACTGATTATGATAAAGAGGCATTATTTAATGCTTTTCTGTTTTCTGTATTTTCTATAATGAACAATGAATTATCTTTATAATCAGAAAAGTAATGCTTTCAAAAACCAACACTACCACCCCAATATTGTGTTGACTACAACATAATTCCAGCAGGAATATTCTGAAGGTAAGTGCGCCCATATTAGCAAAAAAAATTTATTTCTAAGAAATTAACCTTTTGGTTTTCCTATTTTATTGTGAAAATATTCACACAGCAAAACAAATGTTTTTCTTTAACAATTTTTCCAGTGTTACAAGTAAATACTAGGGATATAAATAATTTCTATTTTTCCAAGAAAAAAGCTGTTGACTGAGGTGGTTTTTCTGAAGCTAGTTTGTAATAATTTTTCCCATTAGTGCTTGATGAGATTATTAGGATAAAATTCTGAATCTAAGATGACTGCCTGCTCGAACAACGAGCCAAAACCTGAACTGTAGTTCCTTCCAAATCAGAAAGTTGTTTCCTTCTCCACTGCCTTTGTGCCTCTCTCAAAAATAGTTCAGGACCTTTTTCCCTCTCTAATGCAGGCTTTCTCAACTTTAGCACTACTGACATTTCAGACCAGCTAGCTGTTTGTTCGGGGTGGGGGAGTCACGTGCATCACAGCACGTTTAGCAGTATTCCTGGCTTGCCCACTAGATGCCAGCTGTACTCCCTGAGTTGTGACAGTCAAGTCTCCCTACATTGCCAAATACTTGTTGGGGGCAAATCGCCTCTGGTTAAGAACCTCTGTTTTAATGGTACACCAATTCTCTTATCAATTTTCAATCAATCTAGCCTCTTTCTTTAAAGATATTCTGTAGAATCTTCGTCATTTGTATTTGTGATCTCTGGTTTTTAGGGCAAAAATGGCACTGAGCTTTAATACAGTGAAAAAAAAAGAGTGACTCATCAGGCAATCATCATTATCTATTTTAAAAACAAAACCTTGCATAAAACAGACATTTGTTATAACAAAATTTACCATTTAAAAATATATATACTATTTGATACAACTTAATTCAATTTCATAAGAAATCCTTGCCAGATAACACTATACCTCTTTCATTTGCAACACAGATTACTTTTAAATGTAAAAAAGTATATATTTAAAAATAGTATTTGGCTTTATTCCAGAGGAATAAATGTTCCTATACCTGGTATTCCAGTTTTGTTTGCCGAGGTCTTTGTTCCACTCTGAGGAATGTTACTTCCAGGGGATAAAGTCTCGGCAGGATATACAGTCCCTAAAGTCTCTAGTTCTCCTCGGTTTGAAGAAAACACCAAGTCGAGGGATGGCAGCTTCAGCATGCATTCCACTCTTGATACTGGCAAACAGCTAAACTTGATCTGTGAGGGCTGAAAAAGAACAAGAGGCAAAAAAAAAAAAAAAAGGTTTCTAGGAACTAGAGGGTTAAAAAATTTCATATTGGATTCTAAAAGTCACATTGAATTTCCATTTCAGTCCACACGTACCAAATTTCTTACCATGTTTACTGATTTGACACTTAAGAGTGCTGTGTTTAATGTCCTAGTTTTTTCAAATGGACAGATGATACATGAACCATAATGTATTAACAAAATGGTACTTCTGAAGAGCCATTTCTAAGTGATAAATATTTAGACATTTAGATATTCTAGAACTTTAAAAATGTTTGTACTCGTACATAACCAAGTCTTTTTTAAAAAAGGAATTTCCCTTACATTCAAATTGAAAAAGATTGTCCTAATAATGACAAAAGTTTCATAAATACTCAAGCTCTCACCAATTACATGTTTTCATCAGACTTTTGAAAAATATAGTGCAGAACTCCAGAAGACCAGACTGAAATTCTTTTAGCCAAATTGTTGTAGAAAATACTTGGAATAAATGACCATTAATGCTGTTGTATCCTTGAGATTATAAAATTTTAATTAAGGGTAAGCTAAACCCTGAAGTTTGCATATAAGTAGTGATCAAATTCTTCTTAATAAATGGCCTCAGACTATTATATGCTCTCAAAGGCCTATTGACAGGATTGCATTTTAGAATGAAAGATGAAATTGAAAATTACAGAAGTCCTGGTAATAATTCTAACAAAGGTAGTACTGTAACATTATATCTCAATTACACATTATATCTGCCCAGAAAGGAACACAATGGTAAGAAATGAAGATACCATACTAAAAAGGGCAAAGTATTTTTTAAAAAGGTCCTATGTATTTTTATTTTCACCACCGAAGTATGCAATGTAAATTTTGAAAACCCAAAGACTGATGAACCTTCTCAACAGAAAAGTAAACACATACACAAAATCTTATATTTACTTTCCAGAAGTTCAGGCAACCTCCAAGCCATCACAAACATCCTAAAGGTACATGAACCCAAGGTTAAGAAAACTTCAAAGAGAAAGACTGTTGAAAAGTAAGAATGTTTTTTTTCCTTTAAAGTAAAAAGGACTACATGAAGTATATCACCTGAACTCGAACATAAACCACAACATCTACAGGAAAGGAAGAGTAAGAAGATGTTGAAGACGATACTAATGATGTTGTTGATTCTTCCATGGGATCTGGTATTTCAAAATGTCCCATATCTTCATCTTGTGAGCTGACAGCTGTTAAAATATTCAAAGTTCTATTATTAGGACAAGGATAAACTAGTAATTAAAATATCCTTTTCTCTCATGTTATTACTGAGATCAGGTGTATGAACACCCAAATACAATTGCTTTTATATCCTAACATTCTACACATCTTTTCCTATTCTAATTTCTTACTCATTCCCCCAAACTCAAATTCCCCGCTGCTATGCCACACACTGTGCAAAGAAAACAGCAGCAGTTATACCCAGGCCCCAAGGAGATTCCCGTCTAAAGGAGACACTAAGCTAGGACCTAAAGAAACCAGGAAAATGAGCAGGTCTTTTCACACTGAATTTTAGTTTTAAGAACCCATCATCAAATATATAGCTGCCTTTTCCCGACATCATTTCAGTTCCAAATCTTACTCCTGATCTAGGGACTTCTGGCCATGTCATGCAATGCCTCAGTTCCTGTACTAGGTTTTTTTCAGCCTAAGTCTAGACCTACTATAACAGAGATAGCACAATGCTAGGAATGAGGAGATATTAATTTTGTTATTAGCTAGCTGTGGCCTTGGGCAAATCATACAACCTCATGGGGACTTGGTTTCCTCATTTATAAATAAGAACTAGATGATCTCTCAAGTTCTTTTTCCGTTCTATAATTCTTTTATATTTATCATTGAACATATCATATAAAAGTACAGGCAATCCCTGGGTTATGAACGTCCAACTTACTTAAAATCCATAGTTATGAACCAACACCCGTAAAGCCACTTACATTAAAATTTCGAGTTCGTACAATGGTTCGTAATAACAAAGAGGTGCTACTTTGCGACATCAGAAAATTATTATTACTGTATTATTAGGTTAAATATGTTTTAGCATATCTGAAATTGTTTCTTTAATGTTTTTTATGCATAGAAAGGTACACTATATACTAAGCCAAACATCTGACTAACTGACGTTAGATACAAACTGTACCTAACTGTTCCGACTTAAGTACACACTTGACTTAAAGGCAGACTTAGGAACAGAACTCATTCATAATCAGGGGACTGCCTGTATCATATAATAGCATTAACAAATTTTTCTAAGTAAAGGGACCCAAGATGTATGTGATGGGGGAGTAAGTATACAAGGGAGATGCTAACCTGTATAATTCCTTTCAATTGGTGTAATTGGAATAGTTTCCAGAGCCTTTTCCAGAAAGTCTAACAGGCAGGGACTAATAACCATTTCTTCTGGCAATGACTGAAGTGCTACCCAGGCATATAACTTGGCTGTTTTTACTCCTCCACTTCCTTTTCCTTTGGCTAGAAAATTTGTAAATGTTAATGGAATTTAGTAAATAGGTCCAATAAATATAAGAAAATAATTTTGTGAGAAATTAGAACTATAAGACAGTTTAATCAGGTAAAGCACATTATACTTAAGACCATACAAGAAAGCAATAAAAATACCAGGTTGATAGAAATGATATATTAATGTTAGAGTACAAAGATGACTGACTAATGATGTTTAACACAGTAGTTATTCCTACTTGCTCTAGTTCATAAATTTTGGTCCAATATTCCAACTTCATATTTTGCTAAGTCTCTCATGGTAATTAATTTTTTTTTTTGCCCACTTCAGGAGACAGAAAACTTTGGCTACCAACGTTTAGTGGCAAATGAGGAAAAAGTCATTGTTTTCAGACTTCTGTATCTCCTTGCTGTTCTTAGCTTGTACATATTTATAATTATTTCCTACCTCAGCTGACACCTCTCCTACCTATTTCCACTTCAGCAGAATGAGCAGGATAGCTAACTAAGACTTAGCTAAATTTGGCTTAGGTTTCCAGCTGCAACATTTACTATTGCATAAACCTAAGAAAGACATTCAACTGCTATGTGTATTACCTCTCTTCATTTATAAAATGGGGATAATACCTATCCTATATTAAATAGACATATATGTGCCTTGTCAATTGTAAAGTGATGCAAAAAATATGAGGCATTATTATATGATTATCATCAATTTTAAAAGATTTATGTAGTAAATGCCATCTCCCAAATGAAACTTCTAAAAATGATTCTTGTCCACCCTGATGTTCCCTTTTTGGAAATTCTACCATATGTGTAAGGTATTACCATGTGGTGTGGTAGCATCCCAAGATGGCTCCCAACAATCCTTGCCTCCTGGTATTCATGCCCTTGTATAGTGCTCTCCCACAGTGAATAGCGCTGACCTCTGTGACCAAAAAGATATTGTGAAAGTGGTGGTATGTGCCTTTTGAGGCTAAGTCATAGAAGATATTGCAGCTGCTGCCTTGTTCTCCTTGGATCACTTCTTTGGAGGGAAGTCAGGCACCATATTATGAGAACTCTCAAGCAGCACTGTAGAAAGGCCCACCTGGGGAGGAACTGAGGCACCAGCTTGCCAGTCATGTGACTGGGAAACACTAGAAGTAATTTTCCAGCCCCAGTCAAGTGCTCATATGACTGCAGCCCTGGCCAACATCTTGACTGCAACTTCATGAAAGACCCTGAGCTAGATTCACCTAGCCAAACCGCTCCTGAATTTCTAGTCCACAAAAACTGTGTTTGTAGTTAGAAGCCACTAAGTTTTGGAGTAATCTGTTATGCAGCAATAGATAATTAACAGAAGTGGTTAATCCCAATATACTCTGACTTAAAAATTTAAGTTTGCTAATTACATTAAAAATGGGGCTTTTCTTAATTTTTTCTCTAATACAGCCATATAAAATCCACTGCCGTCAAGTCGATTCCAACTTACAGCAACCCAATAGGGCTTCCAAGGCTATAAATCTCTATGGAAGCAAACTGCCATCTAGATCATAAGCTCCCAAATTTGAATTGCATAAAACTATTCTTCTCTAAATATGTATAGACTTAAACATTTAATTAAGTAAACTAGTTAGTTTATTAAGTTTATTTTAACTGATGTTCTGAAATAATATCAATCTGAAAAATAACCAATAGTTGGCTCACACTTCCATATATAACCTTTGCATAGTTATTAACAAATCTATGTATTTTTTTCCCTAAACATGTAAATTTTAGAGAAAAGTATCAATAGAGCAAGTAGGTGGTGACTAAAAATTAAGTTATGAAAAAAAAAAAAAGAATATATTCTCCTTAAATACCTGAGGGAATAGGTGGGGGTTGGGGAGGAAGTAAGGTGTTAGTCTTGCTGTGGACAGTGCAAGGTAAAGGAGGAGAAGGAGGAGATGTTGCACTATCTTTCATACCATACAGCTTGGATTCTTTAGAGAGTGTTCTTGGCAAGGAGGATCCTCTGGATGCATTAGGTGATTCGGTCTTCAGAGTCTTGGAATTGTAATGCAACTGTATTGAAACAAACAAACTTTCAAAATTAAAGTTATGCAGATGAGGAAAACAAAGAAACATAGACCAATGTGGTAGAAAGAATAGTAATTCAGGAGTCAGAAGATCCAGTTCTAGAGCTTTCAAGTTAGTTTTATAATTCTGGCAAGTTTCTTAACTTGCTTTCATTTTTAAAATTATAAAGGTTACACCAGATAATCTTTAAAGTCCTTTCCAACTTAACATTCTAGGATCCAATCATTCTGTAATCTAAAAAAAACTACTAAGTGAAGCTACACTAGACCAGATTTAATGAGTATGTTAATACTAAATATCAGTGTATAAAAGGAAGAACAACCACTTGATTCCTCTGGAACCTAAGAAATTTCAATACCTGGTTTTGCAGGGGAGGGGATGGAACAGGAGCACCTACAATCATACAGTAAGTCCCTTGAATTATCCTTTGTTTTGTAACTTTCTGCCAAATTTTCATGGAAAAAGCAGTATAAGAGAAGTGACAGCCTGCAATTTGGACATCCTTATGTCAAGAATTTAGCTGTATTACGTTTCTTAACATAAATTCCACTGTCGTCGAGTTGATAGCGATCCCACAGGGTTTCCAAGGCTGTAAATCTCTACGGAAGCAGACTGCCACATCTTTCTCCCATGGGGCCACTGGTGGTTTCCAACCACTGACATTTTGGTTAGCAGTCGACTGCTTTAACCACTGAGCCACCAGGGCCCCTTATTCTTCAGAATGTCCAAATTGTAAGCTGTCACTTTTCTTATATTACTTTTTCCATGAAAGTCTGGCAGAAAGTTGAATAACAAAGGATAATTAAAGGGACTTATTGTATGGTTTTAAGTGCTCCTACTCCACACCCTAGTCCCACAAATACTGTTAATAATCACCACCACTTGTCTGTCAGTTTGTCGTACTGTGGTGGCTTGTGTGCTGCTGTGATACTGGAAGCTATGCCACTGGTATTTCCAATACCAGCAGGGTCACCCATGGTGGACAGGTTTCAGTGGAGCTTCCAGACTAAGACAGACTAGGAAGAAGGACCTGGTAATCTACTTCTAAAAAAATTAGCCAGTGACAACATTATGAACAGCAGCAGGACATTGTCTGATATAGTGCTGGAAGATGAGTCCCTCAGGCTGCAAGGCACTCAAAATATAACTGGGGAAGAGCTGCCTCCTCAAAGTGGAGTTGACCTTAATGACAGGGAACTAAAGCCTTTGGGACCTTCATTTGCTGATGTGGCATGACTTAAAGTGAGAAGAAACAGCTGAAAACATCCATTAGAATCAGAACATGAAATGTACAAAGTATGCATCTAGGAAAATTGGAAGTCATCAAAAATAAAATGGAACACTTAAAGACCAATATCCCAGTATTAGTGAGCTGAAATGGACTCGTATTGGCCATTTTGAATCAGACAATCATATGGTATACTATGCCAGGAATGACAAATTGAAGAGGAATGGCATCGCATTCATCATCAAAAAGAACATTTCAAGATCTAACCTGAAGTACAACGCTGTCAGTGATAATATTCATTCACCTACAAGGAAAACCAGTTAATATGACTATTATTCAAATTTATTTACCAACCACTAAGGCCAAAGATGAAATTAAAGATTTTTACCAACTTCTACAGTCTGAAATTGATCAAACATGCAATCAAGATGCATTGATAATTACTGGTGACTGGAATGCAAAAGTTAGAAACGAAGGATCAGTAGTGGGAAAACATGGCGTCGGTAATAGAAATGATGCTATAGATTGTATGATAGAATTTTGCAAGACCAATGACCTATTAATTGGAAATATCTTTTTTAACAACATAAACAGCAACTATACACGTGGACCTCACCAGATGGCATACACAGGAATCAAATGACTAGATCTGTGGAAAGAGACAATGAAGAAGCTCAATATCATCAGTCAGAACAAGGCCAGGGGCCAGCTGCAGAACAAACCATCAATTGCTCATATGCAAGTTTAAGTTGAAACTCAAGAAAATTAAAACAAGTCCACGAGAGCCAAAGTACTACCTTGAGTATATCCCACCTGAATTTAGACACCATCTCAAGAATAGATTTGATGCACTGAATGCTAGATGATCAAAGACCAGACCAGTTGTGGGATGTCATCAAGGATATCATACATGAAGAAAGCAAAAGGTCATTTAAAAGACAGGAAAGAAAGAAAAGACCAAAATGGGTGTCAGAAGAGACTCCGAAACTTACTCTTAAACATAGAGTATCTAAAGCGAAAGGAAGTAAAAGAGCTGAACAGAAGATTTCAAACTGCAGCTCGAGAAGACAAAGTATTTATAACGAAATGTGCAAAAACCTGGAGTTAGAAAACCAGAAGGGAAGAACACACTAGGCATTTCTCAAGCTGAAAGAACTGCAGAAAAAATTCAAGCCTTTAGTTGCCATAGTGAAGGATTCTACAGGCATAATATTGAATGACGTAGGAGGCATCAAAAGAAGATGGAAGGAATACACAGAGTGACTGTATCAAAAAGGATTGGTTGACATCCAGCCATTTCAGGAGGCAGCATATGATAAAAAGCCGATGGTATTGAAAGAAGAAGTCCAAGCTGCACTAAAGGCATTGGTGAAAAACAAGGCTTCAGGAACCGACGGAATACCAACTGAGATGTTTCAATAAATGGATGCAACGCTGGAAGTGCTCACTCATCTATGCCAAAAAATTTGGAAGACTGGCCAGCAGACTGGAAGAGATTCATATTTGTGCCCATTCCAAAGAAAGTGATCCAACAGAATGCAGAAATTATCAAATAATATCATTAATATCACATGCAAGTAAAATTTTACTGAAGGTAATTAAAAAAATGATTGCAGCAATATATCAAAAGGGAACTGCCAGAAATTCAAGCTGGATTCAGAAGAGAATGTGGAACGAGGGATATTATTGCTTTTATCAGATGAATCTTGGTTGAAAGCAGAGAATACCAGAAAGATGTTTACCTGTGTTTTACTGACTAGGCAAAGGCATTCGTCATAACAAATTATGGATAACATTGTGAAGAATGGGATTCCAGACATGTAATTATGCTCATGCAGAACCTGTACGTAGACCAAGAGGCAGTCATTCAAACAGAACAAGGAGATACTGCATGGTTTAATATCAGAAAAGCTGTGCATCGGGTTGTTTCCTGTCACCATACTTACTCAATCTGTATGTTGAGCAAATAATCTGAGAAGTTGGATTATATAAAGAAGAACATGGCATCAGGATTGGAGGAAGACCCACTAGCAACCTGTGAAATGTAGAAGACATAACCTTGCTTGCTGCAGGTGAAGAGGACTTGATGTACTTACTGACGAAGATCAAAGACTACAGCCTTCACTACGGATTAAACCTCAACATAAAGAAAACAAAAATCCTCACAAGTGGACCAATAAGCAACATCATGATAAATGGATAAAATGTTGAAGTTGTCAAGGATTTCATTTTACTTGGATCCACAATCAACGCCAATAGAAGCAGCAGTCAAGAAATCAAACGACGTATTGCATTGGGCAAATTGCTCCAAAAGACCTCTTTAAAGGGTTAAAAAGCAAAGATGTCACTTTGAGGACTAAGTGCGCCTGATCCAAGCCACGGTATTTTCAATTGCCTCATATGCATGGGAAAGCTGGACAGTGAATAAGGAACACCAAAGAAGAACTGATGCCTTTGAATTATGGTGCTGGCAAAGAATATTGAATATAGCATGGACTGTCGAAAGAATGAACAAATCTGTCTTAAAAGAAGTACAGCCAGCATGCTCCTTAGAAGCGAGGATGGTGAGACTTTGTCTCACATACTTTCAACATGTTATCAGGAGGGACCAGTCTCTGGAGAAGGACATCATGCTTGGTAAAGTAGAAGGTCAGCGAAAAAGAGGAAGACTCTCAATGAAATGGAATGACACAGTGGCTGCAATAATGGGCTCAAACATAGCAACAACTGTGAAGATGGCACAGGATTGGGCAGTATTTCGTTCTGGTCTACACAGGGTCACTGTGAACTGAAACTGACTTGATGGCACCTAAAAACAACAACAACATTAATCGAATCCTTTATCCTAAAAAAATAGTTATTATTTTACCTTTACATCAACTCCAGGAATGTAAAATACTGTTGTTTCCATGTCACTTGGCTTTGTCTGTAGAGATGACGGCACTTTTTTGCCAGTCATTAAATGGGTGGTAGAAGCATAATTAGTTTGAAACTTCTTCTTTTTAGAAGGAGAATCTTGATCCAAGCTCCTGGAACTTCGATCATAACTCCTATAAACACAAAAATGTTTTGTCATTTAATAAAAGGAAATATTTATCTCCTTTTCTTTCCTTTAATAACAAACTTACTTATACAGTAAATAGAATGTAGTCCTTCACTAATAATGTTGAAAATGTAAAGCTTATCACTGTCTCTAGCTAGTCTGGCTAATGCCTTGCACTAATGTTAATGTTTTAGTCCCATAACTGTATAGGGCAGCAGTTATCTTTGTTCTTTTCTGAGGTCATGATTATTTCACTTGAAAACTTCAAAAGATTAGGTTGAACCTAATATCAGCAATTTATTATAGTTCAACCTAAAACATCAAGTGCATTATGGTAAATTAACATTTTTTTATCATCGTATTACATTTGCAAGAGATTTTAACTTAGTTAAAAGTGCCCTTTTATCTGGTCTCTCATTTTATAAAAGGCTCATTGGATAAGTAGAGCATTTAAATAATCTTTAATTATGAAAAATTTCAAACATATGCAAATAAAAAGAATGGTATAATGAACGCCCATGAACCCATCACCCAGCTTCAAAAACTGTCAAAATTCTGACATTCTTGTTTTACCTATATCTCTACCCAGCTATTCAATTATTAATATTATTTTCATTTTTTACAGTTCTTTTTTAGATTAGGAAAGAAAAGCAAAATGAATTCAAAGAAAAATTAATCGCATGTTAAGCTGGTTATTTCACCATCTAGTTAACAATGGAAGCAAAAGCTGCCTTTCTATCCTGAAAAACATTCCAGACTACTGAGGCCTCTCCGTGAACTGATGAGACTGTTTCCCAATCTCTTACTTCTTTATGAACTTATCAAAACTCAATAATATGATACCGATGAGTACTGTGCTGTTTTTTAAAATATATATAAACAAAATTAGCTTAATTAGTTAAAATCTAAATAAATATTTACTTATAAATAAAATCTAAATAACGTGAGTATTAACTAAAAAATTCATGCTTATGTCAAAGGGAAATTTCAAAGATATAACTATTTTAATTGATTTACCAGACTCTAAATCAGAAAGCTATTTCTAGTTGCCAGATAATATTATACACTTATTTAAAGAAATTGTATGCTCTGCAAATAACCAACCATTTCAATTATGGTTAGATCCCCAAAATCTGCATTTGGGACCTGAGGTACAAAGGTTTTCATAACTTAGTTATATATCCGAATAGTATCTCCAACAGGAGAAGTTACATTTACTCTTTTTCCACCTATCTCTTACCTTCTCAAGCTTATATCATCATGTTCTTGTAGAAGGGTGGTTGGGTGGAGTACGCATTTTCCACTATCAATTTCAACCCGTATATCAAGTTCAAAGTCAATATTTCTCTCTGTAGCTGTGCCACCAAGACTTCGGCTGACTGGTGTTGTTGGCCAGCGTTCAGTAAATAGCTGATGAACAGCAGCAAAGCCTGTTGCTTTTTTACGAGATGTATGTCTAGAGAAAGAACAACTGGTTATTACATTGCAGTAAAATGGGAAGACTTTTTAACAAATCATTTTCCAGTATGTTATAGTGAGCAATACTCTGTAAATAAATTTTGTTTCATAAGTTTACACAAATTGAGAAGCACCACACCATCCCTCCGCGGCAAAGATCAGAAAAACTAAGTCAAACAGAGTCACACGTCAATCCTGAAACCCTAAGCATCAAATGAAGAGATAAAGAACTCAGCCAAGCACTGAATGGAATAAGAAACTGACCAAGAACAAACAGCGAGGAGAGATACATGCAGAGGTCCCCTATCGGCTATCACAGCACGGATCTGCCATCTTGGACTTCTATCGGAGATCAGTGAATAGGGGGTATGAGAAAGCAGCCTCATGGAGCTTCCAGCAACAACTGGTAACCAGTGATATAGGCTTTCCCACCCCCCACCCTTCTTCACCACGACTTAGCCTCCTCTGCTTCCTTCAGCCACAGTCTCTTGGTCAGGAAGCACCAGCTTCACCCCGGTGTCGCTTGGATTCCACCTGCCCATAATCGCTGGCTCCCTGAGTGCCTTTTGTTGGCTGCTGGTGTTGCTTTTTTCTGCTTCTTTAGATTTCTTCCTTACCTCTCACCATCTCCCCCTCCTTTCTCTCAAATACCTGGCTCCATACACCATCTTTGCTTCTTCCTGAAAGGCTGCGAAACACCACTCGACTGTGAAACTGCTTCCCGGCCCGTGCTGCCATGCTGGTGGGACCCCCGGGGCTTTTGTTTGTTTGTTTGTTCTGATTTGTTCTGTTTTGATTTGTTTTCTTTTTCTTTCCTCGGCTTGGGAACCCCTTCTAGCCAGGCAGTACCGCGCGGCTTGGAAGCTACTCCCTTACTCTGCGCAGACGCACCGGGACATCCCTGGAGGCATTTCTTTTTTCTTGGTTTTGGTTTTTTTTTGCCTGTTTTGTTTTCTTCTCTCTCTTATTCCCTTTTTGTCTTTCTTCATTTCCAGTCTCTCAATTTATTCATTTTTTTCTTTTACCCTTTTTCTTTTTTTTTTTTCATTTTTGTTTTTCCCCATTTCTCAGTCTCTCATCTCTCCACTCCAATAGCAAGCTCCCTGAGCACTCTTTTTTGTTTGTGTGTATGTTTTTGGCTCCTGTTCCTCTCTCTTCTCTCTCTTCTTTCCCATACCTATCTTAGCTCCACACATCACAATCTACCCCCTCCTTCCTGCCTACGTGCACTGTGCGCTGAACATCACACTCCCAAGCAGCATAGGGATGGCCTACCAGAACCTTCCCTGCACTGATACCCGGTCCGCACTGTCAGCCCTGGTAGGTGCCACAACTCATCCCAGCAACTCCCCGTCAGCTGGACCTGACCTGCTGTAACATACCTGAATGACTGACCCTGCCCATTGGAGAAGGAGGTGAAAAGTATTGTGCCCACAGATGAGCAAACAACAAAGAACGCACGCCCGCCTGCTCAGACATAACCAAATAAAACAAAAAAGCAGACAAAAGAAACAAATCTACAATCAATAAACGATGAAAATAACCACTGGATGCCCCAAAGACAGCAGATGATATCAAAAAATTTACAAAAACAGGACAGGATGGTTTCAGTAGGTGTCCAAAATAAAACAGCAGATAACCTTCCAGTAGAGGAAAAGACACTAGACCTAACTGATAGAGAATTCACATCTCTAATATTCAGAGCTATCCAAGAGTTGAAGCAAAAAGCAGACAAAAATGAGGAAAAAATAGACAAATTCATGGAAAATACAGACAAAAAAGTGGAAGAATTCAAGAAAATAATACAGGAGCAAAAAGGTAAGATAGATTCACAACTAGAAACCATACAAAAACAACAATTAGAAATCCAAAAGATAAACAACAAGATTTCACAAATGGACAGCATCATAGAAGGGCTGAGGGGCAAGTCTGAAACGATGGAAGATAGGATCAGCGAAATTGAAGACAGACACTTGGATACAACTCTGAGGAAAAATCAGAAAAAAATAACAGAGAAAAATGAAGAAACCCTGAGAATTATGTGGGATACAATCAAAAGCAAAAATCTGTGAGTGACTGGAGTTCCAGAACAGGGGGAGAAAACAGAAAACACAGAGAGGATCACTGAAGAACTGCTGACAGAAAACTTCCCCAATATCATGAAAGATGAAAAGCTGGCCATCCAAGAAGCTCAGTGAACCCCATATAGGATAGACCCCAAAAGAAAATCACCAAGACATATCATAATCACACTTGGTAAAACCAAAGACAAAGAATCCTGAGAGCAGTTCAAGAGAAACAAAAAGTCACATACAGAGAAGAAACAATAAGACTAAGCTTGGATTATTCGGCAGAAACCATGCAGGCGAGAAGGCAATGGGATGACGTATATAAAACCTTGAAAGAAAAAAACTGCCAGCCAAGAATAATATATCCTGCAAAACTCTTGTTCAAATATGATAGTGAAATTAGGTCATTTCCAGATAAACAGAAATTAAGGGAATATGTACAAACCAAACCAAACTTACCAGACTTATTAAAGGGAGTCCTTCGATCTGAGAACAAACAACATCAGCTCATAGGCTGAATACAGGACACAGGATTGTACTAGCCAGATACCAACCTAGAAAATGAGCTCTTAAGGACTATGCAAAACCAAAAGAATTACAACAGGGAACCAGAGAGATTAATCAGTAAATGACAACAACATCAGAACAATAAAACGGAATAAACGGTATAGGTATAGAACCTTCTAATGGAGAGGAAGGCAAGGCAATACCAAGTAAGAATAGACTGATTCAAATCTAGGAAGACAAGGGTAAATTTCAAGGTAACCACAAAGAAAGTTAACAAACCTACTCATCAAAATAAAAAAGAAGAAAAACATAAAAGTCTTAGTAAAAACAAAACCTACAAAAACAAATGGAAAAAGAAAAAAATCCGCAAACAAAAGGAACTCAGCACAGGAGAGTAAGCGGAACAAGGAAAATGTCAGCACCACAAAAAAAAGCACTACAAAATGCAATCCCACTCCTAGGAATATATCCTAGAGGAATAAGAGGCGCCACATGAACAGACATATGCACACCCATATTCATTGCAGCACTGTTCACAATAGCAAAAAGATGGAAACAACCTAGATGCCCATCAACAGAAGAATGGATAAACAAACTATAGTACATACACACAATGCAGTGTTATGCAAAGATAAAGAACAATGATGAATCTGTGAAGCATCTCATAATATGGATGAAACTGGAGGACATTATGCTGAGTGAAATAAGTCAATCACAAAAGGACAAATATTGTATGAGACCTCTACTGTAAAAACTCATGTAAAAGTTTACACACAAAAAGAAACAATCTTTGTCGCTTACAAGGGATGGGAGGGGTGGGGGTGGGGCACTAAATAGACAATAAATAAGTGGTAACTTTGGTAAGGGTAAGACAGGACACAACACTGGGGAAGCCAGCACAACTTGTATAAGAAAGGTCATGGAAGCTCCATAGACACTTCCAGACTCCCTGAGGGAGTGAATTGCTGGGCGGAGGGCTATGGGGACCATGGTCTCAGGGCACATCTAGCTCAACTGGGATAACACAGTTTATAAAGACAATGTTCTACATTCTACCCTGGTGAGTAGCATCTGAGGTCTTAAAAGCCTGTAAGCAGCCATCTAAGATACCCCACTGGTCTCACCCCTTTGGGAGCAAGGGAGAATGAAGAGAACAGGATACAAGGAAAATGTTAGTCCAAAGGACTAATGGACCACAGCTACCACGGCCTCTGCCGGACTGAGTTCAGTACAGCTAGATGGTGCCCGGCTACCACCACTGACTGCTCTGACTAGGATCACAACAGAATGTCCTGGACAGAGCTGAAGAAGGATGTAGAACAAAATTAAAACTCACAAAAAAAAAAGACCAGATTTACTGGCCTGACAGACTGGGGAAACCCCAAGAGTAGGGCCCCAGGACACCCTTTTAGCTCAGTGGTGAAGTCACTCCCGAAGTTCACCGTTCAGCCGGGGATTGGACAGCATCATAAAACAAAACGGGACTAATGAGGCACAGCAGTCCAGAGACAAGGACTAGAGGGCAGGAGGGGACAGGAAAGTTGGTGATAGGGAACCCAAGGTTGAGAAGGGACAGTGCTGACATGTCGTGGAGTTGCTAACCATTGTCATAGGGCACTACGTGTACTAACTGTTTAATGAGAAACTATTTGTTCTGCAAATCTTCATCTAAGGTACAAAAACAAAAAAGAATTATCTATGTGAGATAAAACTGACAACAGCAACTCAAAAGGTTTGCTGTGAATCCTAGCGTGCAGTGAGTTGACGATAATGGTGACAGAATAATTTGGAAAAGGATAGTGAGAATAGCAGCACAACTGGAAGAATGTAATCGATGTCACTGAATTGTACATGTAGAAACTTTTGAAATGGTGTAACTTTGGCTATGTATATTTTCATCAAAAAAAAGGTCCTTCAAGGTCGAGAAGGGAGAGTGTTGACATGTCATGGGTTTGTTAACCAATGTCATAAAACAAATCTGTATTGATTGTTTAATGAGAAACTATTTGTTCTGTAAACCTTCATCTAAAGTACAATAAAAAAAAATTTAAAAAAATAAAAAAAAATAAGTTTATACAAATTATTCAACGATCTCATACTAATTGAGTTTTTTTCCTAAGTTTAGGGGAGTCACATGTGATTAACAGCTATGATCTGAGTAACTGTTACATGCCAAGCAATGTGCTAGGTGCTGAGGACACAAGCACAATCGCTGCTATTAAAGAGCTTGAATACTGGTTCATGAACTACATTCTGTATTTTGAAGGAAACTTCCTTTTCTCAAATTGTAAAATTTAAATGATACTTTCCAGATTTTATTAAAGAAGAACAGAAAAGAAAGAAAAATAATACCACATTGAGCCAAGTTACATTAATAAAACATGAATACGTCTCTTAATCTCACCCAGGCTAGGCACATTAAAACTATTTTCTATAAATATTAGCAATCACTTTAGGCTTAGTTCTGTAGTCTGAAATACTAGCTAAGATGTTAAAACAAAAAGGCTACTCACGAGGGTTTTCTGTAAATATAAAACCTTTCCCGCTCGTGGTCTTCTTCCTTTTCATCCTTCTCAGAATCTTCGCTGGTAGAAGACAAACTGTCATCCCGTCGGCCCTCTTCATGTTGGAAAGAAAAGCCTCCTGGAGTCTTGGGAGAACTGAACACGGAACAGGATCCTTCACTATTAGATGAGTAATGGCACGGACCATCAATGGTTACTGACAAAAGGTCCAGTTCTGTCTCTTCTGGAAACTGATTGTAAAATAAGAGAAAATAATCATTTAGGTTTATATTACAAGTCCCTTCTCAATTTAAAAAAAGGAAAAATACATAAAGTTAAACATCTCAAAATGATCTCAGAGTTGAGTTTCCTCACTCTGAACTGAAAGGTTGGTCAGATTTATGAGCACATAAAATGGTACACCAAGGAAGGAAGCAGAATGTCAAACCACAGAAACTCACACCACTGATACACTAAAAATCAGAGTGAATTTTTACTTTAGGTAAACATATATATTCTATTAATTAGTATACACTGTAATTCTTTAAAATAGAATTAAACATGCTGTGGAAACAAAGAAATCATAATGTGATTAACCGTAAATCAGAATGGCAAGAGCAATTAGTGATCAAAGAACACACAGTGTCAGTAGAGTGTACTGTCATCTGATGATGCTTGTGGACGCTTTTTGTGACTGCATCTAAAAAATAACCCTGAATGGGTTGAAGAGAGATGCATAAGTAGTTGTGTAATTAAACATGTATCAATCAATCAAACTTAAAAATGTTGTATTTTAAGGCAAACAGAGTTTGTGTAAACCCCATGCCACTAACTCAGGATTGCACTGGGAGACCATTGTATTTAAGTAGACCAAAAAAGAATAAAACTTCCTATGACCTAATTTCTATTCCCAATTTCACAGGGTTCATTAGTATTGTTTGAGAATGTGATAACTTTTTGTAAAGTGTAATATGCAAGGTAATGCAATTTATTATTTAAACGACTGGATGCTACTATTAGACACATAGCGAAATCCTACAATCCAAATTTCAAATATTTGCAGAATCTAGCTATTTCTCACTTTATATAAAATACATCTTATTGAGTAAATGTGTAAATCAGATTTTTTCAGAACGTCTTCAATTTTTAAAACTTGTGGTAAGAGCTTATATAGGTAAATTATCTATTTTGTAATTCATAATTTTTATATGCCATTTTTTAAAAGCAGGGTACACTGCTATTTAAAAATAGGACTTGAATCAATTGAAATATTAAGAATTACTTAATTAGTAGAATCCACTCAATTCACTGTAAATGATTTACTTCCAAGTTCTTTTTTAGAAAAGGAATGTAGGTCAAGCTCACTATATAATTTAAGAGTTCCAAAACAAAATTCAGCTTGACTGAATTCCGTTTGACTATAGGATACATTGAGACTCTAGCTTGAGACGCGAGTCGGGGAAGGGAAACAAAATATATGCGGAATAAGTGGCAGTTTTTTTTTTTTTTTTTTTTAATGTAACTTGACAGAAAAATTCTAGACAAGGATTTGTATATATTTAAATTTATTTTTACTGTTATAACTTATATTTAGGGAAAATATTTAGCTTATAAACAATGTTATTTCAATTTGTGAGTGATTAGATAGCACATTTTCCACACTATTTTGAATATCAGAATAATTTTTTAAATGGTTTTTTATACATGCTCTTTTATACCAGTGACTCAAAACGAGTAACATTCAATGATTAATCTGTTGTCCTGAGTTAGATGTGATACTAGTTTGAACTACTTTACCAGTCTTTGTTTTATAAGGAAAAGATTCATTTTGCAGTTGAGTGTAGTGAAAAAGAGATTCACTTAGGGATTCAGCAAGTAACTATAATAAATTCCAGTTTTTGGTTTATGATTTGGTGAGCTAATTCAGTCTTTATTGTTATACATTTTAAATACTAAAATAGTTATTAAATTATATAGATATATAGAATTAAAATATATGTGCGCAAGGGTTTATGAAATATACATGATGAAAAAATTCAAATAATCTTAAGCCTTTTAATTTAAAAATATTATGTGAAATATTTTTGAAGTCTGAGTTTAGTTTGAAATGAAAGGAAGACATTTTGAAAGCAGATTTTCAGGGCGGTTAATTAGTTTTAAAGCACAATTTATGTTGTTCTTAAAAAGTACCTGAAAATACCCTTCCCCAGGACAGCTGGATTGTGGTGTACTTCCCCATACTGTATTTTTCAACTTAATTAAAATAATAAGAAAATTAAAAAAAACTCATGAATAAAGAGAAACAATGATTTCAAAGTAAAGAAAAAAAAAGCAAACAAACATTTTAAGATAAATTTTAACATCCTATGAAATTAGAATACAACTTTAAATCTAACCTTCGTTTGGTTTCTCCTGTTATCTATATGTATTCTGAACAAAATACACAAATAAGTACCTAATATTATTTTCATATTACATATTTACTGTTATGGAAAAGACCTAGTTTAATGTGAATTCTCATTTGAAATAAAAGGTATTCAACAAAAACATTTCTACCTAAGAGCCAGCAGTTTTGAAGTTTTTATTCTACATGCAGGACACAAATGCCTGCAGCATGGCTCTGAAATGATTTCATTTTAGGCAGGGATTAGTATTTTGAAATTGTATAATTACTGTACTTTTGTAATTACTAAAAACTATTTAGCAGTTTGTATCTGTGACAAATATCTCTCTTACTGTATCCTGGATATTGAAAGTTACTCTGGGCCCAGGAGATGCTGCATCCACACGGATTTCTGGGAGTTCCTCAGTTTCTCCTACTCGAGAACTATAAATAAAATACAAAGTTAGGAAATACTAATATTATAGTTTTTAAAATAATATTCCTGGACTTCATAAAAGTCTGATTAATGACATTAACATTCTATTTCTAAATATTTACCTTATCCACGGATTTAACTTTTGGCATTGTAGCTCTTAAACTTTAGCATCTCATATAAAAAGACTCTGTTTTGATTGACACAAGATTTTCTAAAACTAAACCATATAAAAAAGAATTCATACCTCTTAACTTATACTGATAATTTATTAGTAAAATAGTATTTTACTGCAATAATATGTAAAATGTCCATTTTGTCATATACTAAATGTGGGTGTATATACTCACACATTTTCTCATTGATAAATTTAGAGCAGCAGCTAGTAATATGCACATTTTCATTTTTTCAGATAGTCTAAGTTTACACATAAAACTTCTCTAAATAGCACTACATTTCATTACTAAAAAGCACACACTACACTGTGGTATAAATGTGATACACAAATTCCTCAAATAAACTTCTTAGTTTGATAGTACCTAGGCACTATTGGTAGGTACTATCAAAGTAAGAGGTTTAATGGTATTTGACTAATACCATCCATTTTTGCCATCTTAATGTTATAATTTTCCCAATTGGAACACATAAATAGGCGGCAGATTCTGATAAAGGAGTCAGCAATTTTGTTCCTTGTTTCATTGGCTGAAATCTTTTATTACCTTGCCCTTTCCATTCGCTTAAGAGGTGGTCTTCCCGAAGCAGAAATGGTTTTAGATCGGCTGTAACTTGGTTTGTAACCCAAGCCCCACTTATCCTTTAGGGAAGCAGCCTAATGAAGTATAAGAGAAAAAGGATGACTTGAAGCAACTGTTTATTATAATATCTGACTTCCTATAAAACATTCTACTATTAAACAAGTTAGTTTCCCCAAGGTCAATAACAAGTTACTCTAAAAGTCACTTAACAATATAGGTGGATCAAAGTAGAGCAGGAATCAGCTACTCCTTAGTCTCAAGGTCAGCTAGGAGGGCTGTGCAATGAGAATGTGAGCACCAGCTGGCCTGACAGAATACAGAAAAGGAGAAAAGAAAAAGATTGGGGGTGGGGGAAACGAAACAGGGTGAGAAGAAAGGAAAGATTAAAAAGGAAAGAACAGAGAGGAAATGAGAGTTAAAGGTGAAGGAAAGGGTTGAGGAGAAAAAAGAGAAGCTGCGGGTGGGAAAGAAACCACCAGTCATCTTAAGTACTACCCAGGGGTACCCCTGCCACAGAACCCCTCTTTATTACAGTAAAGGTAAGGAAGGGTGACTTGAATACTTTCCCTGTTTCCAAATTCCTCTTCTCCAAACTTTTTTTTTTTGGGGGGGGGTAAAGGGTGGGGAGACTAGATATTAAGATTCTCATACAGTGGAAATTTGGAAGGCAAGAGAGGTGTAAAGAGAATTGAGAGGGAAATGTCAAATGAGACAAGTGTTAAGAACTCAGATGTAATTTCAATAACTTCTCTAATGCTCTCTACCTAGTTTTAACAGTCAATTACCAAGTATAAATTACCACACAAAAAGCACACAACCAACATTTTGTTTACATAATATGATTGTTAGGTAGGTAGTAGAAAAACTTTAAAATACAGAATATGATTACAGACATCATTATCCATTTATCCTTATCATAGGACAAGGATGTATAAATCAAACTGAATTTTGTCTTTAATTTAAATAATTCAGAATAATATTAAAAATGGATTCTCTGAGATATTGGGGGTGATCAAGGAAAGATCAATCCAATGGCAAGATCAAGCCCTTGCAACCTATTCCCCTTCCTTTGACTCCATTAGCTTTGATTTATCTGTTTCATATACTGGGGTGCCACTCAAATACCTTATTCTGGGGGAAAAAAAAGAGTTTTAGCTGATTAAGAAAAGCTTAAACACCCATTCACTTTTATCAAAAAAGCACAGTTTTCACACTCGCAAGTAAGACTACCTTGACACAAAGCAGCCTACCTCCATTTGAATAAGTTTTACAATTATTTTCTACCGTATGTTTATAGTATATTTATTTATTTGTTCTGATTGTAATGAGGTAGGTAGTGGGGTCAAAGATAAATAATTTGTTCTTCTAGAGATTCAAACTCTAATGGGGACAACTAAATCTGAGAATAATAAAGCACAAAGAGCTGAGCGCACAGTGGCTGAGAGGTAAAATCTAGGCATAGAGAATGGCATAGGGGAAAAATGGATATCTCAAAAGATTTTCAGAGTTCACATTCGAGTTAAAGACTAAAAAGCAAGTATGAGGCAGCTAAACATGGTGGTTAAAGGCATAGACTATAACGTCTCATGGCCTGGATTTGAATCCTGGCTTCACTAGGATTACTAGCTGTATAAACTTGGTCAAATTACTTAACCTCTCGGTGCCTCACTTTCTTCATCTTTAAAGTGGGGGAAAATAATACAACCTACCTTATGGGGTTATTGTAAGGATTTAATGGGTTGTTATATGTAAAGTAAGGTGACACAAATGGTTTGTGTTCAGCTACTAACTAAAAGGTTTGCGGTTCAAATCCACCCAGTGGTAACACAGAAGAAAGGCCTGGAGCTCTACTTCCATAAGATTCCAAAACCAAACCCATTGCCATCGAGTCGATTCTGACTCACAGCAACCCTATAGGATAGAGTAGAACTGTCCCACAGGGTTTCCAAGTAGTGGCTGGTGGACTCCAACTGCCAACTTTTTGGTTAGCAGCCGAGCTTTTAACCACTGTGCCACTGGGGCTCCTTCTATAAGATTATAGCTATTGAAAACCCTGTTGAGTACAGTTCTATTCTGGCACACATGGGGTTGCCATGAGTTGGAATCAACTTGACTGGATTTTTTTTTCTTCCTAGTACATAAAATCCTCAAAACAGTGCCTGGTACATAGTAGATATGATATTTACAAATCAGCTGGTATTTTCAGCATCGGAATAACAAAAAGAACAACATAAATGTCACAGATAAGTTTTATAAAGTACAAAATAAAAATAGTCTACTTTAATAAAATTCTTCTTAAGTGTTTACTCACTCGCATACTGGATCTCCGTAACTTTTTACGGACATCTCTTCGAATGTCATTCACAGCAACAGACTCTAGCTGTTGATAACGCTGAATTTCCTGGTTTATGGTGCCTTCACTCGCACCCAGTTTTCTTGTTACAAAACAAATATGGAAATTAGTGTAGAGAAATAACAGAGAAAGACTGATTTTCACTTGTTCCTTTTTAATTCTTTTACTTATCAGAATGCCAAAGATTATGTATGGATAGGCCAAAGCCCTTCATACAGTTAACACTCTTCTCTATGGCAAACCTTCAAAAACTTTCTCTGTTGTTTGAGGAAATAGTTCTTACCCATTTCTGCATCAAGAGCCTCTCTGACAATCTCGTGAAAAGTATGGACATACTGCAGAAAAATGTATGTATGTAAAATTCTACATAGAATTTAAACCTCAGGTAAAGATTTTGGAGAAAGAAGTCTTTTGCTTCAAGTCACTTTTTCCCCTGAGAACAAAACTCAAACTGTAATGTAGGTAGGTCAACAGGAGAATGTGAATCACTGGTTAATTAATTCACAGACGAGTCTTTAGGCAACACCTCTCATTCTGCAAAATGCATGTACTTGTGTTAAGTCTTCGAACGCAAAAAACACAAGTGCAGGTGTGTGAAGACTAGAAAAGATGAGGCATGACCACCACCTTTTGGGAAAACAGGAAAACTTCAAAGCCTGGCAAGAAGAATAGTCTGAAAGGGGAAGTATTTACTTAGGTAATCATTACTATCCAGCAGCCAACGGATATGGAAAAAAAAAATTACTACCACCTACTCCCTCCTCTCAACTCACACTACCCCTATCTCAGTACTACAGAAATGCTAACACTGGCAAGCAAAAAAAAGCATGTATTCTGAATCCAGACACATGCAGTTCAAATTCCTACTCTTCATCCTCTGTGAGCCACAGTTTTCTCATCAATAAAGTCTAGATAATGCCAGCTAACTTCACAGATGTTGTGTGGATTAAATTGTGATAATATATATCAAACTCAGGGTAGGTACTGAATAAATGTTAAATTTGTTTTCCTCTTAAACATTTCATAGAAATACTAATGCTAGTAAGAGACTAATGCATATATTTATATACACATATGAAGATATGTATATGTGTATCTACACATGTGGAGAAATACATGATATAAAGTCAGTTGTAAACTGCTCAGAGGTAGGGAGTTGTAAAGAGCACTAGACTAGGATTCTAGTCACTCACTTTATCACTAATAAATTTATGATCGCAGGTAAATTACTAAACTTCTCTGGGCTTGGTGTCTTCATTTATAAACTAAAAGGATTGCACTAGCCCAAATTCAATTTCCTCCATATTTAAAATCCTACGATTCTAATACTAGGGAACACTATATTAAAAATCATTATACATACTTGAGATCATCTATTACTTTGGCCTGTTCATTCAGTTCTCTGATATCTACTATACGCTTCACAATTTTTCTTCCTCTAAGTTCTCCTGGCTGGCTGCCAGATGCTCCTTGTCTTCGATAATCTACAGCTTCCTGAAAAATCAAAAGCATATCTGTCAATGCCACCCTCAGATTACACAGCAAATCTATACTATCACAAAATTAACACCTTAAATCAAAGGAAGCATGCAGGAATCAAAGCCAGCTACATTAAGTATGATGATTGGAATTCACCAGTGATTCAAATCCCTTCATTTTCATAAGGCATCTATTCAGTTGCTACCTACGTTTCCCCACGAGTGAGCTCTGCATGCTTTCAAATGGGAATGGCTAGACTGAGGGGAGCCCATCTCTGGGTCATACAGATAGTCTGCAGGAACAGAATAGCGGTGGTTTGGGGGCGTCAGGCCTAGGAGGTGATTTACAAGTCGCTGCCCAAAGGTGAGCCTGTGGCCATCTCCACTTACTGAACTTCCATCTGAACTCTAAATGATAAACAGTGACATTAATTTTTTACTTTCTTTGCAAAACCAAAACTACTGCATGGTAAAACAGTTAAAATACATTTAAAATATTAAAAAAAATTAATACCAGAATGAAAGCAGAGAATAAATTTCCTTCTGATTACCAAATAACTTGGTATTACACAAAGCATAGATGTAAACACCTATTTTTAAAATGTGCATTTGATTTGGTTTGTGCGCACTTTTTGATATTTCATTTTTTAAACATCTTTATTGAGATATAACCCACATACCAGAAAATTCACCCATTTAAAATGTACAATTCATGTTTTTTTTAATAACGTATATTCACAAAGTTGTGCAACCATCACCACATTCTCAATTTAGAATATTTTCATCACCTTAAAAAGCAATTCCATACCTATTAGCAGTCACTCTAATTACCCTCTATTACCCCAGCCTTAGACAACTATGAGTCTGCTTTCTGTCTCTATAGATTTGCATTCACTTTGCTTTTACTGCTAGTACTTTACCTGTAGGCTCAGGCAAAAGTTAGTTGACAGTCATTATGATACACAGAACTCAATTAAAAGACAATATTTATGAAATGTAGACACAGGGCACCACCACTCATTTGCCTTCCTCCATAAATAGCAACTATAATAACAGTGAATATTAATAATACCCCCGTCTCAGGGTAAAACCCAGTCCTGAGAAGCTCTAACAGTAAGTTTACTTACAGTATGGATAGTGGGAGACATAGTATCAACTTCATCCTCATCTGAGAGGTCAGCTATGTTCACTGAATTTAGGTCAGCAATGTCATCTATGTCCTCCTCTCCCGTCAGTGTTGTAAGGGTGTTGCCCAGAGCATTAAGTCTTTTGCCAATATTGGGATCCATGTGGACATCAATCCCACACATCTTCCACAATACATTGAGTGTCCAGGTTCCAGCACTACTACTTTCTGTTTAAATCAAGAAGTGGTGTTTTTGTTAAGTCCTGAGTATAGAAATTTAAATAATTCTATCTTTAAGAAATACAATGGACAATGGCCACATCTAATGTCTCTCACAGCCAGATCCAGGGACATATTAGAATACGGGACTGGTTTCAGTGTGATGTAGTGTGCATTTACTGTTTCCTCTGTACAGCACCCTTCTTTTCTCCTGTGAACTGTGGGTTCCCTCAGAAACTCCCAAGATGATCCACCCTCCCACGGATATAGTAGGAATTGCCATGATTCTCACTCATCAGCCATAATTAATTAGATAATTGGTCCAGGTGAGCGTCAAAGCTGGAAAAATAAGAGTCCTTCCCTGAACTTGAGAAAAGATCTGTCCCTCTTTAGTGATTGAGAGTGGAGTTAAGGGAGGCTCATGAGCTGCTGGCAGGCATGTTTCCTGCTATGTGTAAGGAGTCAAAGTAAGGAAAAATGGAGCAGCCACAGAGAGGAGCAAAGACAAGAGCTGTTCAGAGTCCTGGTGACAGTTGAGATCTTGGTTCTAGTTCCTAAGGGCCTCTGAACTTACGTAGTTCATTCTCTTAACTACTATTGCTGTATTTAAGTGTGATCCTGAAATATCCTTTATATAAGCTCTTCCTTTTGCTTAAGCTAGTTTGGGTGGGTTGTTGTCATTTATAAACAAAAGTCCTGACAAAGATTTTCAAATAAACTCTCCCCCACTACCTATGTTTGCCCCACACATCCCTCTTTCCTTCTAATATTGCTGCTGGAAATTTTCCTGACTTTTTCATTTCTCTGTCAGTGGGACTGCAGATCTTGATGTTTGCTGAGACAGCTTACGTAGGATAAGCACTGAGGCTAAGCTTGGGAAAGATAAGAGGAAATAGTAAGAAGAGAAAGGAAATCTATAAACCTTAATCAGCTTCTGCCCTCTCAACATCTTAACACAAAAACCAAACCTGTTGTTGCCGAGTCAATTCTGACTCATGTGACTCCACGTGTTAGAGTAGAAATGTGCTCCATAGGGTTTTCTTGACTGTAATTTTTATGGAAGCAGACTGCTAGGCCTTTCTTCCACAGCACTGCTGAGTGGGTTTGAACCACCAACCTTTAGGTTAGTAGACAAGTGTAAATTGTGCCACCCAGGGACCTTTCTCAACATCTTAAGAGTACCTAAGTGTCTCCCTTCACTCACTCTGCCCAATTTTATACTAAGTGAGATAATAAAAATTCATATTGTGCTATCATCTTAGTTAAGACACATTATTATTTCTATGGTTATCTTCTAGGGTTCCCCCCACCCTAATCCTTGAAACTGTCCCTCTGATAGTGTTATCACCTGCCCTGTAGCTCAAAAAAATATTCAATGGCTTCCCACTGCCCACCAAATCAAGTTGAAACTCCGTATTTCTGCATTTAAGATTTCTCCCATGTTATTTTTCACACAACTCTGTTCCAACTAAACTGGACAACTCAGACTAGACACTGTACTTTGACATGATGATTGATATTATTCTCTCTACCAGAATTTTCTCTGCCCCATATCTCCCAGTTTTAGGTTAAGAAACATATTACTCATCCTTCAAATCCCTGCTTAAATGCTCATTTTTCCATGACACTTTCTCTGATCCCAGCATCCCCCCATATTTGGAAAATTTCTCTCCCTCCTGCAAATTTCAATAGCGTTTGGCATTTTATATTTTATTGTACTATTCACTTATCCCAGTGTAATTCTGCTGCATGTGCCTTCACTACATTATCAGAACTTAAATTTATTGAGGGTAGAAAATTTATCTTATTCATCTTTGTCTTTCCTAAAACATTTAGTAGTATAACTACTGAATAAATAAAAAGCTCAAATACTACTACAAAATAGTTCTAAAAAATATAAAACACTAGAATTAGCTTAACTAAAAGATTCTTATACCATCAAAATAAGGGCAGAATTCTACCTGACATACATTGCCAAAGTAATACTGTATGTGAATTTACCAGCTGCTGCTTGTCCTGTTGTCCTTGAACATACTTCATAGGTACCATCTGGAACTACACCTGCACAAAAATCACCCGAAAATAGTTTTTAATAAAAATACACTGTGATTAAATACTGTAGTCCAATTTTTTCACCCAAAGTTTATTATCTAAACACAAATAGGATCACCAGCTTTTATAGGTCTCAGTTCTTAATGTGCAAAATGAAAGGGCTACCTTAGCTGACTCCTAAAATCTATTCCACATCTCAAAATATCTCACTCCATGATATTAACAACCGAACTGCAGTTTCATCTTTACATTCTGCATGTGGTTTACTTAATCTGAGTGACAATACCTGGCCGATTCTAAACCTCTAGTTGCCTTCCGACCAGCATCCAGGATGCTATGACAATTGCCACCATGAGTGAATGGCACTTAGAGTACACAAATGATTTGAAAATGATTTTTCAATAACTAAGAATGGCCACATTAGGTCAGAGCCATGATTCACCATCCCTGTCTTCTTTGACAATGAACATTTTATTCGAGAAAATAACTAATTGCCATGATGTCAATCTCATAAGGTCAGGGAACTATCACAGAACATATCTGACTTTAACTCTGAAACATTTACTACCACTTAGCTTTAATTTGACAACTTCAGCTTCAAAAAAGAGGTTAATTAAATTCAGTTTTAAACAGTAAAGGACATACTATCCTTCCAACAACTTTTAAACAAAGTAAACTCTAAAGATAGAATTAAGACCCCTTCTTAGTAGGGTTTCAAAGTGGCTCATTCCAGTTCAACCCTCTGTTGAGAATTTGCATTGCCATCCCAGATATGCTGAATCAGAATTTACATTTTAACAAGATCCCCAGGTGATTCTTATGTGTACCTGGGGATCTTGTTACAATGTAGATCCTATCTTATGTATAACTAAGAATCACCTGGGGATCTTGTTAAAATGTAGATTCTGATTCAGTACATCTGGGGTGGCAATGCAAAATTCTCAGCAGAGGGTCAAACCTGACTGAACAGGTTTGAAGACCTGTTTCTTAGTAATCCTTAACTGAAACCAAATATCAGTATAAACCTGATAGTACACATCTTAAATTAAATGTCCTTTTGTAATTCACTCTAAATCCTAAATTGGTATTCAAATGTTATTCAAGTTTGAGTTTTCTATTCATTTTCTAAGTACTATGGTATTAAATTTTTCTTTCCTTATTTTCAAAATAGAAAAATCCCTCCAACTTAAAAATACCACAATTTGTTTTAGAAGAAAAGGTCCCTTTGTTAAGTGAAAATTTCTATTATGTAGCTTTTTAAGAGATAAGACAATAAGTTTAAAATCCAAATGATATTTCTGAACTATCTGACATCTGTGCCTCACATGGAGATTCTAAATTAAGAAAGAACTAGATCCAGGTATGGAGCAGAAGATTCACTCTTAGAGTGATAATTACAAATCAGAACAAAAACAAAAATCAAAACCTAGATTTCCCTTTCAAATTAAAAAATTCTAGAATGAACAGAAAACTTTGAAATATGAGTAATACAACTGAAGCCAAGTGAAAGGAAGAACTATTAAAAACATAGTAGAAAACTTTTAGGAGTTCCTCTCTCAAAAAGTGGCAGAGAATAAAAACCAATTTGCCTATTTTATAACTTGGAAATCCAAAAATGCCAATAAAACAGCTACTCCGCTCACCTCCTCCGTGACCTCCCCGCAAGAAACCAAAACAATAAACATGATACAAAAAAGTCAGTCAGTACCCTCCAAAACCCAAACTAAATTACTCTGATGAGCATTATCAGCATGCGAGTGTTCTACTTTGTTGGTAGAATATATATTGAGATGGTAAGTTATTATTTGTTCATATTTTTTAATATATGTTTTTGATTTAGAGTCACAGGTGAAGACTCAAAAATTACCTAATATTTCTTATGCATTTTCCCTTTAAAATAAATTGTTAAGGAAATAGTTTCATTGCTTCACAATATATTTTAATAAATACAATGAGAGCAAAGATGTCATCTTAATAAAAATCAGTAGGGTTTAATTCATTTTTGCCTTGTATTAAGAAAAAAACCCAAAAACAAAATACGTAAATAAGTTACAGTGACTTCTTTGAACATATCTAACACAACTGGATAAAGCGATAATTTGTAAAGGTCTTTTGATAAAGGCTCTTTTTGGATATTAGGCATGAGTTATTTGGATTCCATTCTTCTTAGTAACCTGAAGTATTTCAAAGAAATTCTAATATTTTATCTGTGGAAAATATAAATGTAAAGCATACAAAACAAGTAATTTCATCTAGGTTTTGGTTGACATTGAATGCTGAAACTTCAATTTTTTGATGTAAAAATAATGGAAAGCTTTCCCATTTCTCAAAGGAAAACTGAACTGGAAAAAAAAATTCCTTCTAATGGACAGGGAGGGAAAAAGATAGTATAAACAATGGCATATCACCTTCTAAAAAGTAATTATTAATTTTGCCTTATAAGATAGAGGAATTTTAGGTCATAACTTTTTAATTCCTCAAATATAAATTTCCTTTATTATTAGGATTATTGATACTTTATCAATTCCACTATATTATTAAAAATATTAAAGTAAACAAATAAACCCCTATTCATTCAAAATCGCATATAAACGTAGCTTTAGTTATTCCTAACCTTGAGTATTATGGAATTGGAGGAACTCCCCCAAGTTACACTCTCTATTCCTACAAATTTGGAAATGTAAATTTATTAATGTCAATATTAATTAGGGATGGAGTTCCTGATGCTTGTTATTTATATCATGTTTTATGTTATGTGATGAGCTGAATCTTTACACATTCATCACTTTCTTTCAAGATCCCCACAGAACAAAGATGTTTTATTGATCATTCATGGATCAACTGCAGCAAAAATCAGGGACTGAGCAAAGCTTCCAATGTTATACCATCAAAAAGAATGCCTTATCTAGTTTGTGCCACATTATTTACCCAAACTACTGAAAGCTTTGGTTTTTCACAAATGTATTTTGGTATCTTTAACTTGAAATAGTCTTTCTTTCACGAAATCTAAAAACATTCCTCTAATAGAACATCCTTCAGTTTTACAAATGAAAGACTTTTTTTTTTTTTTCTAATTCTAAACCTCATATAGAAAATAAGACACTCACAGGCATTCATCACTAGATCCCCACGAATTTCTGGTTTCCAGTCATCCCACGATGTCTCAAAGCCATCCGCAAAACGGATACAGAAGTTTTTGAAATGCCCTTTACTAACCAGGGACTCTGAAGAGCAAGCAGTGATGAGAGTACTTTCAATGGTCAAAACTAAAGCAGAACCAGTGTCAAGGTCTCCAGTGTGATTAGACTGCAAAATATGTTGAAGAAATAAGACAAAAAGTGAGGATATTTTGACTTGAAAGTCCTCACAGATTTATAGGAACAAAAACCTATAAAGGGCCAAACCTAGAAATCTTTACTAAGAATGCAGCTTAGGAAGATACCTGATTCAAAAAGTTAATCAACTGAAATGCATTTTGCCGCACATTTTCTTCTTGCAAAGGGCTAACTGTATCTCCAGCCTGTGTTTCAGTCATGGATGCTCTCTGGTGTGTGTCACTTCTGAGCCCTGTCCATCATGCCGTTAAAAACTACCACCATAAATTCCTGAGACACAAACATGCCGCAGATTTTTTAACACTGTCTTGCGAAACAAAATACTAAAGATAAACTCATTCGATAACTGGTTACAGATTTTTTTAAGGAAAAATAGAGATCTCTGTATTTTAAGTTGTAATTGTTACTTCTTGGCCTGACAGGGGCTCAGCCTTTGCTTTCTCATACACATATGCATGCAAATCCATGTCCCTGAGATTTGGGCCTGAATTACGAAGATGGAATTCTTGCTTCATCCAGCTGTACACATAGCTTGGAAATTTCATTACCATTAAATATGGTTAAGCGCTCGGTTGCTAACCAAAATGTCACTGGTTCAAACCCTCCAGCTGCTCCACGGGAGAAAGATGTGGCAGTCTGCTTCCGTAAAGATTCATAGCCTTGGAAACCCTATGGGGCAGCTCTACAGGGTTATTAAACATTGTTAAGTAGTATTCTTAAATGTCCTTTTGTTTCCATTTTATAAACAAGTCTGTGCCAAGGACTTTTTTGTTACTCAACAGTAAAAAGACTTTGAAAACTAAGCTTCTTAGCTGCCATGGTAAAAATTAACAGTTATCACATGGATGTCAATCTCATCACTGTGTTGGGGCACATCAGAGTGCTTCAGAGACAAATCTAAGGGATTCTGATTTATAATGTTGTGGATGAATAATGGCTAAAGGAGTTCATTCTTTTTTGCTATTTACTGAAGTCAAGTTATAAACTAGTCTCCTGAAAAATCTACTGGTATACTCTATATACATAGAAATGGTAGGTAGAAATGTCTGGCTCTTAATTCTAGAATATGACTTGATTTAAAAAAACTTTTTTTTTACCTGTGCAGTATTTGTGATAGGCAGGCAAATTCCCAGATCATTCACAGTGAGCTGGAGGAAGAGAGTCCCAAAGGCCTGGGCTGATGTTTGCTGGATACCAGGCAGCATATCCACTACTTCCTTTGTTGCCATATGAATATCCTTATGTAAGGCCATGCGTTGTTCATTCCAGTTGTCATAGGCAGCCTTATAATTCAGCCAAAACAGCACAGCTTTTGATATTTAAGGCAGGGAAGAAAGAACATTAAAATCAATACTGCTAAGACTAATAAAAATTAGTCCCATCGGACTATAGCATTGGAATTAGAAAGAATCTAAGAGGAGCTAGTCAGCTTGACAGATGGGGGGCGGGGGGGAGCAGCAGAAACAGACAGCTGCATAATGGCAGATGGAAGAAGAAACTCCCTCCCTTCCTTCCACGAACTATTTGTTGAATGCCTGGGATGGAATAATAAACACAGACACAGTCCCTGACCTCACAGAACTTTTTTTTTTTTTCTTTCTCCGTCACAGAACTTGTTACTATGGCTATAAATTCTTGAAGGAGAGGTACTTATGCTAGGAGTATATATTACAGAGATTTGATTTAGAGAGAGAGAGAGATCATATAAAAGTTCCCTGGGGAAAAATACCTGAGTTAAGTCTGAACAAAGAGGAAGAGTTAACTAGGATGGGAGGCTGGAAGGCCGCATATGCAGAGAGCTTAAGACACCGCAGTAGTGGAGATGGTTGTTGTGCCATCAAGTGGATTCTGACTCAGACCAGCCCCATGTGACAGAGCAGAGCTGCCCCACGGGGTTTTCTAGACTGTAATCTTTACGGGAACAGATCGCTAGTTTTTCTCCCGGGGAGCCACTGGGTAGGTTCAAACCACCAACCTTTCAGTTAGCAGCAGAGTGCTTGACCACTGCATCGCCAGAGCTCCTTGTAGTGGAGATAGTGGTATAAAACAAGCTGGAGGGGGAAGTAAGTGAGGTCAGATCTTGTAGGGCCCTACAGGCCACAACTCAGAGCTCTGGGAATCACTTTGTTTCTGTATTTTTGGGGAGGTGGTGGCAGTGACAGCAGATCTAGCTGCAATGTGGGGAACAGATAGGATGCGGGCTGGGAGACATGAAAGGAAGCTACTGACAAGTGCTTGTGAGAAATGATGATATATTTGGATGTTAGGATGTCGATGGTTGAAAGAGAGAGATGTGGAGAGATCTAAAAGATGTTTAGCTGTTAATATCAATGTGATGTCCTGATGAATTGAATATAGGGAGAAAGGGAGATTTCAAGGATGACACTAAATTTTTGGCTTAGTTAAGTACACAGAAGGTGGTGCCATTTATAAGTTTCATTTTAGACATACTGAGTTTACGGTGCTATTTCATCACCCAAGTGGGGATGCCAGGTAAGTAGATGGATGCGCTAGCTTTGAGTCACAGCTGTATGTGCTGTAAGTGAAGCTCTGGGCATGAGGAAGACTGCCTAGGGAGAGAACCTGGTGCAGAGGTGAAAAGTGGAGGAGGTTCTGGCCCCAGATCTATTTTATTTAGTCTACTGAAGGATTTTTTTCCAATGGTTTGACTGTGTCCTTTTAGGTAGGGCATGCACTTCCCAATATGGCATAGCCTAGCCCTGGTGGTACAGTGGTTAAGCACTCGGCTGCTAACCGAAAGGTCAATGGTTTGAACCCACCAGCCGTTCCATGGGAGAAAGATATGGCAGTCTGCTTCCATAAAGATTACAGCCCTGGAAACACCATGGTGCAGTTCTTTCCTGTCCTATCAGGTTGCAATGAGTCGGAATTGACTCAACATTAACAGTTTTTTTGTTTGCTTGGTTTGTATTACTCCCTAATATGTGTGACTTATACACATGTACCGACATGGTACATGTAGACATTTGAGTTTGTTAGTGAGAATGATGCCTTAAGGAAAACCTTCATTTAATGTCAGAAAATAGAATGAGAAGCCTAAAAAGGAGATAGAGGGGCCAGAGAGATAGGAGGAAAAGTAAGAAACTATTATGTCATGGATGCCAAGAGTAGAAAGTACTTCAAGGAGTGGTTGAAAGCTGATGAAAGGCCAGTAAGATGAGAAATGAAAAAATGTGCACTGGACTTAGCAATACAACAAAACATTATCCATAACATTTCCCCTAATTTACCATTAATAAAACGATCCATATGCTAACCATGTACAGAGTTTTTACTCCCTACTTTGATCAGTCATCTTCGATTCGCATTAATAACCCCTTTTATGAAGAAGTCCTTGGATGGTGCGAACGCTTAACGTGCTTTGGCTGCGAAGTCTCAGTCCACCCAGAGGTGCCTCAGAGGAAAGGCCTGGTGACCTACCCAAAAAAATCAGCCATAGAAAACCCTATGGAGCACAGCTCTACTCTGTCACACATAGGGGTGCCATGAATTGGAATCGACACAATGGCCAACTAGTTACTGGTTATAAAAGGAGGATATTACAAAGGAGACAAAGATGGAGGGGCCAGAAAGATAGGAGGAAAAGCAAGAAAGTTTTGTGTCATGGATGCCAAGAGTAGGAAGTACTCTAAAGAGTTGCTGAAAGCTAATGAAAGATCAATAAGATGATGAATGAAGAATGTGCTCTGGATTCAGCAATGTAACAGAATATTATCCGTAACATCGCTTAAAGGGCCATTTTCTAACTAATGATCTTATCACCAGTCTATGCCCATCCCACTTTAAACCTTAAGTGGCTTCATAAATGGCTCATTACTTCTAAAATAAAATACAAACATATTTGCCCAATTAATTAGACCTTTTCTACCTGCTCAGCCTTATTTCCCATTTATTTTCTTTCATGAAAGCTGTTTCTTAGGCCTCTGTGCTCATATACCTTCATTCACTCATATCTGTCTCTCATTTGGCAGGTATTTATTTAGTTCTTCTATATGCCAGGGGCTATTTTAGGCTCAGCAATACAAAGGTAAATAAGAGGTTCATTTCCTTGTTTCTCTGGTGAACTCCTAACTTCGTATTTCATCTCAAGTATAATTTCCTCCTCTAAACAATACAGGCGAAGTTAGGGACTCCCTCGGCTCCTGGAACATACATCTCTAACTCCACTCTATATTTTACTTTTTTTCTCTCTTTCCAGTTGTACTTAAGAGTTCCTTAAGGACAGAGATTTTTTTTCCTCTTTGTATTCTATTTCTAGATGGTACACAATAAATGTTTATAGAATGAATGAGTAAACACAGTGGCAAAACACAAATGGGCCCATTAGTTTCCCAAACCCAAAAACTGAACATTACAATTAAAACTCTGAATCAGACACTCCTATGTATCCATGCAGAAAGCAAAATAACTACAGATGATTTTTATCCAGCATTACCCAAGAATTTCTAAATCCTAGAAGACGGTAATGATGGACTTTATCTTACCTCTATCAAAGGCTACGGGCTGTGCATAAACAATTGGTCTATTCAAAGTAATAAGCACAGCTTCCCTATCTGAAGAACCACTGATTTCTTCTCGGAGGGCATTTCTTAATCCAATTCTGGTTTTAAAATACGCAACTTGATGAAAATCAGAACCAGCTTCCTCATAAACCTAAAATAAAATTTAAAGCTCAGTAAAATCAAATAATGGAAAATATATTTTAATTATTACTTCATTATTATAAAAAAGTTTTAACGTCATTAATAGTATGGTTCACCAAAAGAACTAAAATACATTTTTCTCAATTTGATTTGTCAATGATATTTTCTTTATACTCTGTACCATACACACCTGAAATTAATCTACAATATGCATGGTCATACAAAAAAGTAAATTATGGAATCACAGATAAAGTTCATACGAAAGCTGGGGTGAGTTTCATAGTCTGAGTGGTAATGTATTATTAAATATCTCAAAATAATTAAATCCTCCTTTGTCCCCTCAAAATGTGTTTCCATTTGAACAAAAAATACTGTTTTTCTAGAGAGGATAAGAAATTTTTTGTTCATTTTTCCCCACATAAACTATAGATATTCATATCTGAAAGTGTGACTCATAGTCTTTTGGTTGGTTCTTCAAACCAAAGGGGGAAAAGGTTAAATCTACAAAACAATTTTTAGCAAAGTAAAAACAAAATGAAAGAAACAAGAAGAAAAAAAGAAAAAAGAAAAACCTGATGAGCTGGGAAATGTAATTTTTATAAAACAGAGAATCTGAATAATTGCTGACTATTGTTTTGATTTGATAGGCTTTAACATCATGGTATGCAAAACTTGCCAATATTCTACGGAGCAGCTAATAAACTTAATAACATTTTAAGAACAGACTAATGTTAGTATAGGCATTGAAATAAAAAGATAATATTTCACAAAATCAAGAAAAAATACGAGGAAATATTTATGAAAATACTGGATTAAATTCCATGTGATTGCATTTGCAGTACACGATGAAGATACACCGCCACAGTGCTGAGTGAAATGCCCGGTAAAACTGTAAAGGCCTTCTTACATGAGTTTTTATTAGAAGTTACAATTAGAAATTTTAGGAACTTGGACTGAATCCTTTTATAAATATAGTAATACATAGATTAAAGTAGTTCAAATTGATGTGCAAAAATTAAAAGCCGTAGTTCTACTAATATCAGTATATTCTGGACTCACCTGATGTTTGACAATTTGCCCTAAAGCTAGATTTAAATCCACCTGACATTTACCAAATAGTTTCAGATAGCTGCTACTTCCTGGTGAAGCTTTGGTTTGAAGTCGGTTTGACAATTCCAGTTCAATCAAGCCAGTTTCAAACCTCACAGCTCTCATTGACGGTGTTGTGGCTGTCACTTGAATACCCTAGAAGATTATACGGTAGGAGGAAAAGGAGTATCTTAAATCAACAATGTACCATCCATTCAAATGCAATCTTTCAACGTATGATAAATAAAAGTCATGTTTTAAAACATGTATAGGATATGTCTAAGGAGCTGATAAAACTGGCAACATTCTCATATCAGTAGGGATTTTTTTAGCTATTAAATATCATTTTTTTGTATTTAATATGTACAATGTTCACAAGTTAAATACATTAATTACAGTTAATGTCTATTTGGTAAGGATCATTTTTCTTTTTAAGAAGACTAATACCTTAACTATGAAATATTAAGGTTTCTATTAAGATATTATTTTTAATAGGAATATGTACAAAAATATTTCTTGCAGAGTAATTTATAACAGCAATAAATTAAAAAAAAATGGAAATGTTTACCAGAAGGGGATTGGTTTAAAATAAATTGTTAGAACTGTATAATACAGCTGTACAAAAGATAAAGTCAATCTAAATGTTCTGACATGAAAAAGTATCCAAGAACTTAAAAAACACATAAAATATGCATATATAAAAATATGAGTAGAAAAAAAATCTTGAAGGATAGTCAACCAATTGTTAAGCCTTTTCTCTGAGTGGATGTGGTTATACTTCATTTTTATTTTTGATTTAGTACATTTATATGTAAGAATTTTCTATAACAAGCATGTATTAATTAACAGAAAATACTTTTAAATATTATTATTTATGTTACCTTAAACTGCAAGTTCAGTGAATAGAGGAGAATTTTAGGTTTATCTCCATCTGCTGTTCCATCATGTTCATTCCACAGAGGAATTGGCTGTTCCCCACCTAGAAAAGGTTAAATAATTGAGGGTTTGGGATAATTTCTCTAAAACAAAAAATACTTTAACTATTTTGCACATTTGAAAACTCTACACACAATAAACTATTCTTTTATTTTTACTGACCATTAACCCAATATTTAACAGGATCTTTGGCCAAGACATTTATTAACAATATCTTAGAAAGACTCAATTAAAACAGTATACATATAGTTCATATGATTATACATCAGAAAAAAATACATTTGAGGGGAAAAAGTAAACTTAAATGGTTTTTTCAACCAAGAATGTGAACTCTGTTATTTGTATTTAGATGTGCTGGAAATAGAAAAGAATGAAAGAAAATATAATATTGGGGAAATAAAAAGTAAGGTATTATGTGCTAATAATAAACAGTGCTAATAATAATAATAATAATAAAATCTGTCCTGTAAATTTAGGAAATAAAAAGTTTTTGCGGGAGGAGTTGGGCACTCAAGGAGGTAAAGTTCCTATCAACAGGAAATTTTGTTGCCTAAGCAATATGGAATTCAAGAAATAATATTCTGACATTTTAATATCTAAATTCTATTTCTACTACTCTTTCCTTTGATAAGAAAACTTTTCTACATGTTTATCTCCCAAAAATTCTATATGAAAATTATTTTTATTTATGTATGTTAAGTTTAGTATAATCCCAGTGAGGCTGTATAGGTGGGATGGGACATTTTTTCCTACTAGGGACTATATGTATATCAAAAGGACTAAGAAGCAAACAGGTAAAAAGGAGGTTTTGTTGGTGTGTTTTGTGAGAGAATTTAATCTCTTATGGGCTTTTGTAATTTAAACTAGGGGACAAAATCTATTCAGTTAGTATTATGATAAAAATATACTTCAGTTCTCTACCAGAATAGACAAAGAAAAAAACAAACAAAAAACAGGAGAAAAAGTGTAGAAAGAGGCAGAGATAGTAGAAGCTACATCTAAGGTAAGACAGAGAAAAAGTACCTACCACAAGCCCACAATCACTCTTACCCAAGCCTGCTATTCCCAAGTGTGTACTGAACACAGTTAAGCAACTATGCTGTTTGGTGACCCAACTCTCCATTTTCTCTCATGTCTTCAACTCACTCTTCACAACAACTACTACGAGTCTTCATCTTTTTCCTCATGCCCTCAGAATTGTTACTTCATTTTCAGCAAATAAATGTGCCTTTCTTTCGCAGTTTCTTGCTATTTTTCTCTACTCAAACTGTCCCTCTCTTTCTGAAATGCATTCAACCACCAAAAAGAACACTCAAATATCAGTTCAAATTAGTTCTACAACCATGAAGTCTTCAATAATAACTGTACCTAGAAAGTGTTCAGTCACCTTTAAACTTACAATGCTTACCTATCACATTAATTTACACTTTGTTTAAAGGTTTGTATTACTATATGTACAAATATCTAATTTTTCCAACTAAAGTATAAATCCCCTAAATGTGAAAATTAAGTTATATCCATACTTGTTTGTAACTTCCTCAACTCCTAGCTTGGGATCATGTTTTTTGTAAGTTCTCAATAGGCAACTATTTAACAAATTTAGAATCTCTCTTCTTTTCAAACATACAGACACAATTTCCTACTTTAAATACAGAGTGAATCGTATTATGTTCTGGAGGGAAAGGGATTACATGGAGTAAGTATTACATTTTGAGAATTTTTAGGGTACTGCCACTAAAAAGTATCTATGACTCTCCTCATATCTTGATAATTTCTAACAGGTGGAGCAAAGGTAAACCAGGAGTTCCTTGTTTCGTCCATGGCGCTACAGACAAGAGCACGTTCCAGGTGACTGCGAGCAATGGTCAGGTGCAAAAAACACAACAACATGTGTGAGCAAATAAAATAAGAATTGCATAAGCCTTATTTTGAAAGTTGGCTTTGTCTTTTCTGTTTTCTGAAATAATGAATAACTTTTGTATTTTCTATAAGTAACTAAAAAGAAAATAAAAACAAACCTAAAGAAAAGCTTAATCTACTGGTATGTTCTTCCTTTAAAAAAATCAATCATCATTCTCTTTCTGTGTGTGTGTGTGATCTTAGCTACTTTTGTGTTAATCAAGTTTTATTTCAGGCTATGGCATAAATATGGTGTGTTACTTCATTATACTTGGTTAAGCTATTAACTTATTTAAGCTATTTTGAAACTATAGTTAGCCTGACAAATTTCTGAACTATATTAGCATTATTTAACAAAAACTGTTTAAGAAGGTGCTTTTAAAAAATGTTTTTCCTAAGAGCTGTATATTATACTAAGTATAAATGGTCTGATCCTTTGTCTAGATTAGCCATCAGGCTGTCAGTTCCTAAGGACTTTCTTCCTACCCCACTTTAACTTAGGCACCACATTGTTCATGTTTTCAAGTACCTCTCTTGACTCCCATAACTTACTGAAGTACATTCTCAAACGTTCCAAGAGTTCATTCATTCTTTTAAAAAACTTGAATGTGTCTTATCTGGACCTGCAGATTTATATACAATTTTGTCAGACAGGCTTACCCCTTCTGCAGCTATTCTAAACCTGTTGCCGTTGAGTCGATTCCGACTCATAGTGAGCCTACAGGACAGAGCAGAACTGCCCCATAGGGTTTCCAAGAAGTGCCCGGTGGATTTGAACTGCCGACCTTTTGGTTAGCAGCCAAGCTCGTAGCTACTGCACCACCAGGGCTAGCTACTGGCAGATAGCTTATCAATTTCCATTTCCTTAATATTGTTCCCTTTTTATTATTCTTTTTAATTGGGTAAAGGCATATTCTTTTTACAATTTTTACTTATCTTGGCTCACTGAAATTTTCATTCTATTTTATTAAAGAGTTTACTTACTTAACTTTAATTTCTTTTGATAGTCTAAATGCAAGCCTAAATAGTCTAAAGGCTGTAATCTTTATGAAAGCAAATTGGAACAACTTTCTCTCATGGGTGGTTTGGCGCATTCAAAACACCACCCTTTCGGTTAGCAGCTGAGTGCTTAACTGTTGCACCACCAGAACTAGACCAATAAACAACATCATGATAAACAGAGAAAATAGTGAAGTTGTCAAGGATGTCATTTTACTTGGATCCACAACCAATGCTCGTGGAAGCAGCAGTCAAGAAATCAAACAACGCATTGCATTGGGCAAATCTGCTGCAAAAGACCTCTTTAAAGTGTTAGAAAGCAAAGATGTCACTTTGAGGACTAAGGTGCACCTAACCCAAACCATAGTATTTTTAATCACCTCATATGCATGCACAAGCTGAAAAATGAATAAGGAAGATTGAAGAAGAGCTGACACATCCGAGTTACTGGGTTGGTGAAGAATATTGAATATATCACGGGCTGCCAGAAGAACAAATAAATCTGTCTTGGAAGAAGCACAGCCAGAATGCTCCTTAGAAGCAAGGATGGCGAGACTTTGTCTCACATACTTTGAACATGTTATCAACAGGGACCAGTCCCTAGAGAAGGACATCATGCTTGGTAACGTAGAAGTTTAGCAAAAAAGAGGAAGACCTTTAATGAGATGGACTGACACAGTGATTCCAACAATGGGCTCAAACATAGCAAGGACTGTGAGGATGGCACAGAACTGGGCAACCAGTTCTAGTCAAAACCAACTAGATAGCACCTAATAACAACAACAAATACTCTAAATAAAGACTAGAGATTTGAGAGGATCCCCATCAATTTTATTCTTCTTACAACGAAACTGCTTTACAGAAAAATAATGACTCAGTGTAAGTTCATTTAATAATCCATCTCTGAAGATATACATTTTGATGAATTAGCACATTTTAAAAGACTATTTGCACTGGGCTGATCTATCACTGTCTTAAACATGTTTTATCTAGTTTCAGAAAGAAATTTTCTTAAAATTTAAAAGCAAAAGCTCAGCAACTTATAAAATGTATTACACAATAATTTTACTTTATAGAAATCTCAGAGACACTACTGTATTATTCACATTAACTATATAGTTTTTCACCTCTTTATGAATTAAATACATACTGGGCCCAATTCTAAGAAGGTAATCTCTTTGTATGTTTTCCTCTAAGATGGCCAAAGATGGCCATTAAAAAAAAAAAACCTGTTGCTGTCAAGTAGATTCTGACTCATAGTGACCCTATAGGACAGAGTAGAGCTACCCAGTAGTTTTTCCAAGGAGCAGTTGGTGGATTCAAACTGTTGACCTTTTGGTTAGCAGCCAGACTCTTAACCACTGCACCACCAGTTCTCCAAAGATGGCCATACATACCCCAAAAATAGGTTTCTTCTTTTAACTCCATCAGTGCATACCTACATCTTTCTGAAACCCAGGCTTTCCTATCAATTCTCCACAGGCAAACGAGATTATAAAAATCAATTCTCCAAAAAAGCATTTTCCTAACAAACAATGCTTGTTGTGAACATGAGTCTTATTATACAACGGAAGATGTTTTAAAGCTAAATGTAACAAGAAGGAAACTATGAGGGAAAAATTATAAAAAATAAAAAAATAGGGACAATACCTATGAAGATTATGGGAGAGTCAGTGGGAAAGAAATAGAGAGATCAGAGTACTGAGAAACTTGAGCTACAAGGGTTCAGAGTACTCCCTCTCAGAATTCTGTTACATTTTCTGGTCGTGACAGGATGGCAAAATGCTTATGCTTCATCAGGCCCTGTGGCCAGCTAGATGGTACACGACTACAGCTCAGCTCTTCTCCTAGGATTTCTGGTTGTCTCTAGAGTCAGAATGGAATGGTTCAGGTCCAGTCACTAAATGACTGTGGTATCATAACCTAATCTTCCTATTTTTCACTGCGATTAGTAAGTCTTCATGGTTAGAATATTAATATCCAGTCCTCTTTGCCATCATTCATTGTGTATGAGAACTAGGAACCTACTTGTATCTCCTAGCTGACTGCAATCCAAAGCTTAGGAAAAGCTTTTCTCTTTTACAAAAACAACTTTAAGGGAGCCTTACAGAGAACAGTTTGATTGTATGAACTCTATAACACTAGCTTCTGCCCATGAGAGATACAAGATTAATTAATGTAAGAGTCTATTACTTTAATTTTTAATTATACATATTTGGTAGTAAAATAGTCTCCAAAATAATCTTTAGAACTTAAATTATTTACCAACTTGAAATATTCTTAACAACGTTCACATCCCAGACAATGTTCTAATGTGATTTTAACCAAGTAAATGGGCCACATCAAATCCTGTGTATGTTCTCCAAGTAGCGGCACCTACTTGGACTCCTTAGACTAGATTAGGCTCTCCTGTGATACGTACTCACTGTACCCTACTCTTGTCATTCAAAGAACTGTTCAAAATTGTAACTGAATACTTACTTATTTAAACTTGCCTCCCTGGATAATAAATGTCATGAAAGCAGAGAATCACATGCCTGTCACATAATAGGTACTCAGTAAATGTGTTAATGAATTAATCCATGAGCATGGACGAAATGCCTCTTGATGCCAATGTATTCTTTTAACATGATTATATTCATACTAGAAATACTCAGCTTCAATGTTGCAGACAGTCAACTTGTTTCCCATCCTAATTCCTCTTAAAATTTTAGTTCCTGAATTAAAATTCAATTAAATACTTCACAATCAAACATATATTTAATGCTAAAACATATTTAAGAAGCTCAAATGAAATCTACCCTTGAGGCATGGCAATAATATAATTAAGTTGCTTTAGACAATTTACCATGTAGCCAGCAAACAGTCATCATCTGGTATAGATAATGAAAGAAATCTTAATAGTTATCGAAATTTTGTTCCTGAGTAAGATTAGTCTGGTCAACAGATATACTTTAAACTTTTTTTTTTTGAGGTGGAGGAATAGAGGAGCTTTGTGAAGTATACGAATCTTAAATCTGTATATTAAAAATGGTAAAAATAATAAGCAAAGAGTCTGTAAGTGCAGAAGCCAGAAGAGAAATGCACAGTTGCTAGGGAGTTACTCAATGTTCGTATCAAAATGATATGATCAATACTCAGATAATAGCAGTTACATGGACCATCATACAGCTGATGAAGACAGTGGTTAGGAGCTTGGCTGCTAACCAAAAGCTCGGCAGTTCGAATCCACCAGCCGCTGCGTAGAAGCCCTATGGGCCAGTTCTATTCTGTCCTATAGGGTCGCTATGAGTCAGAATTGACTTGACAGCAACGGGTTTGTTTTTTTTTAATTCTGTAAGGTACCACATCAGCTTACCAGAAACTTTTTGTATTACTTCATTAACTTCCTTCATGAACACCTTCTGTACAAATACCAAGTGGTTTAGAAGATCAGTTGTGAGATTATGTTCAAAGGAACCAACCTGCCAAACAAAATCAGAGTTTTAGGTTAACACTATTAACTATATTAATTTTAAATATACCTTTTCAGACATGAGTCATCCCAAACTCTGAGTAAAAAGAATTATCCACACAGCATTTTAAATCAATATCTTGAAGGAAGATTAAAAATATTCAGATTCCCTAATACTTTACTGGCATCTGACAGTTATGGGTCAGTCCCAAAGTGTTTTTTTTTTTTTTTTTTCCCTTAACAATAGTCAATAAGGTGTGAAAAACCTTTTGAAAACAAATGAAAATTATATTTTAACTACGTTGTTGGTAGTGATGACCCCTCAAGTCAATCCCAACTCATGGCGACCCCATGTGTTACAGATTAGAACTGCCCCATACGGTTTTATTGGTGGTAATCTTGGTGCAAATGGTTAAGTGCTTGGCTGCTAACCAAAAGGTTGGTGGTTCGAACCCACCCAGCAGCTCCACAAAAGAAAGACCCAGTGATCCGCTTCCTTAAAAATTACAGCCAAGAAAACGCTATGGGACAGTTCTACTCTGTCACATGGGGGTGCTATGATTTGAAATTGACTCAATGTTACCCAACAACAACAATCTTAATGGAAGCAGATTGCCAGGCCTTTTCTTCCATACTACTGCTGGGTGGGTTTAAACTGCCAACCAACTAATTTCATAATTAAAATTTTTGTCTACAGTAAAATTTGTTTTTAATGACTACTCTTTGGTCTTAGAACCACGGACAAGAACCATTACTGTCATTATAAGTGATAGTAAATGTTTTTACTCAGTCAAATATTTATTAACCATGTACCTCTGTGTACTACATTAGGTGCTAAGGATTGAGCTGTGACTAAACATATCAAAATTCAACTCTCATGAGGTTTATATTTAAGAGAATTAGAAAATCAGATATACCCAATTCAATTTTAATAAAATAGGTGTCTTCCAATTAGTATAAGGTATTAAATTTCTGGCAAGCCATCAGTTAATAAACTGATTAAATTGCAGGTCCTAACTGAAGTTGAATTTTACAGGAAAAATAGATTAAACATCCTCAGGCTTAAGGTAAATGCTTCACATTCACGTTTAATAGGGTTCATACTTTGATCAAAAATTATGAGAGCAAAATAGATTTGGAAGTTTAAAGAAGTTCCATAAAGCCTAAGGACACTTTTATTTTGTATAAAGTAGTAAAAAAAAAAAAAGGCAAAGATGATTTTCATGTGTGTCTGTCTATTTTAGGCTGAGGAGAAATAAGCAAATTCTAAGAGGGATGTAACTTTAGATTCTTTCAAAGGCTTGTTATTAATTGCATTCTTACTAAACTTGGGACTGTGTTCTGTCCAATTGTAAACTTTGCGCCTTTCTACTATCTGATATTAGTAAGGAATTATGGAATATACTGCACTAGATTATTTTCTGTCAAATGAAGCATTAATAACAGTACTGCTAAACTAGAGTTTGGGGCCCTTATATTTCAGAGTAGAAAGCACAAATGAAATATACTTTATAATCTATCTTTAAAGCTTTGAATTACTAGAATCTTGCATATACTTTTCCCCCCACCTACAGAAATTCCAAATCTCAGAGTGATGCTAGGACAAGCAGGGCCTAAAGAAGAGAAAACAGACTTAAAAATGTTTGCTGTAGCTGTAATATTCCTATCAAAGAACCTAAAGTGCTTTTTTTTTTTTGAAAAAATAATAGATGCTTCAGGTTCTAAAGAACAAAATTTATAAAAACAAATAGCTGGCAAGTTGCTTTTTGATAAGGTTGTAATTATTTCTGGCAAATTGACAAAGTAAGCTGAGACACAGGAGTGTTGAAAAGAGGTGACCTCCTCCAGTAAGGACGGGACCATGGAGGTGTGATTCCTACATCTCAGACCTGACAGCTGGGAGACTTGAGTAAAGTTCTCTCTGAGTCTCAGTTTTCTACTCTATCAAATTAGGATAACAGCAGATGACCTTCCTCCCACAAATCAAATGAAAAACATGTAACCAAATGTTTTTTTAAACTTTTGACCATTGTACAAATATAAAGTGAAAAAATAATGATGGAATCAGGTATGTCAACTTAGTTTAGAATTAGTGTGTGAACTGTGCTATAATTATCTTTCTATATGACATTTAGTTGACATTAATAATTAGGTATGCCTGGGCAAATCATGAAACGCTAAGGCTCAGTTTCTTCACCTATAAAGATGAGAACAAATATCTACTCATAGAGTTGTTTTAAGGACCACACAAGTCAATGCATATAAGACACTCAACAAATGTTAGCTGCTATTTAGTTTTTACAATCAAAAGGGCCATGAAAATATTGTAGAGATAGATGTGACAACCAATATAAAAAATGTGAATTCAAAGACGACTAATATGAAAAAAAAAAGCATGTATAAATAAAACGTCAAGGAGAAAAAAACATAGACACGCACACGCACACGCACACACGCACACGCACACACACACACACACATGCAAACTAATTCAGTATAGAATTCTTGTGTAAGAAAAAATGATTTACCTTAAGAGTTTGGATCACTAAATATTTTGCACCTAAAGCTTAAAGACTCCTAAATTACAAAAGGTAAGAAAATAAAAAAGTAAACTTACTTCCGCAACACAACGTAGATAATTTCCCTGTAAATAGTACCCTTGCTTAGAAGGCAGTTCATCTATACTCCACACCTGATCTGAGTAACTGTCATGTTCTTCCATTATGTATTTCCCTGACATAGTAACAGGAGGAAGGTTAAGACTGGCAGAAGGAGGAATGGTTGACATATCTGTGGCAGAAACTTTTGAAGTAAAACGCAATCTGTGATTTGGAAGCTCAAATGTAAACCTTGTCTGTGCACCTGAAAGAAATAAGAGAAGTTAATGTTTATTCATTTGTTCATTCACTCATTCATTCCTCACTTTGTTCCAAAAACGCTGTCTAAGAGAAATGTATGGATATCCCAAAATCTAACCTGAAAAATATGAAAATATTTTTTAATTTGCTTGTAAAATATTCCTATCTATAAATATAGTCATGAGCAAATATATATATGTATGTATATATGTGTATATATATATATATATACACGCACACATGTATATAAAACCAAACCCACTGCCGCTGAGTCAATTCTGACTCATAGTGACCCTATTCGACAGAGTAGAACTGCCCCATTGGGTTTCCAAAGAGCAGCTGGTGGATTTGAACTGCTGACCTTTTGGTTAGCAGCCAAATGCTTAACCACCTGCACCACCAGGGCTCCCTACAGATACAATTGCCAATCCACATAGTGATTTATTTAGAGAACAGTTAGCAGTTAACAATTTGTCCCCTGATCTCAATTCATTGTAGAAGGATAATAGTGAAAACTGCCAATACAATTAAATTGTACTCACTGAAAACTTACATAAAGTATAAAACTTTACAAACATATGTTATCTTTGATCTTAAAAGTAATTATTAGTGGAACCATATACCAATTAAGGATATAGTATGAATTTTAGTTTATTGCTAGTCCTAACCACTTAAATCAACAATCCAGCACACAAAGTTGTTCAAACAACTATGAATATACAACCTGTACTATTATTTAGCCCATATTTTCCCAACTATCTATGAAGGCATGAAGGAATATCAGAAGCCTTATTAAAATCAAGATCTATTATTGCCCATTACATATACTATGTAATCTATATGCACATGCTTCTCTCCAACCAACAAAATCTACTAATACTCTTTTGTACACTACCAATTCTCTCTACTCACACATCATTAAATATCCTATTCTGCATTCATATAGATTTAGATTATAATTAATTATATACTCCTAGTGCTCTCAACTGAGCCAAAAATAATACCTTTTTCGAAGTACTAATCAAAGGTCACCTCCTATATGTCACATTCATTACATTCACTCATTGTATAATAATGTCTGCACTTGGCAATGAGTCCGCCATAAATAGGAGAACAATGTTCTCACCAACTGGTGCATCTGTGAATAGCCAGATAGGTCATGACTGCCCTGACTACCTCAAACTCAGTACTCCAACGAGGAAGACTCAGCGACTATCACTTGTAGGCTGCAAGGGGTGGGGGAATGTCTAGCACTGTTGCTATAACTACCACTACCCTGAGCTCGCTAAATGAAAACACTAAGGTTAAAGTAAACCTCGGCATAAGTTATTGGGTCATCCTTTTCTTTGTCCCTTTCCTTCATTTCAAACAGAATTGTGGGTTTCTACCTGTCTGGATATTTGACAATATGTTTACTCTGCTGAAATATTTATATCTTCCTAGTTCTAAACTGCCTATCTGGCTTTTGACTTGCTTCTTTGGTTGACCCTAGTATTTCATCGATGACCTGAATAAATGGCCAAAATGAGTCTAACTTATTGTCAGCTCTGGCCTTCACTATCTGAAGGCCTAATACTTCTGACTCTGCCAAATGTAGAAACTCACTTTAGGTGTTTCTGTTTCTGGTAATACAAAGGTCCAGATGTTCCGGAGAAAAACCTCCTAATAAAGTCTAAAATGCTAAGAGTGTGAATAAACACATACACATACACATATAAAAAATGCATATGTGCATTTATATATGTGTGTATATGAATGTTTTTGAAACTATTAATGTAATGCAGGACCAGGCAGCATTTCATTCTGTTGTACACAGCGTCACTATGTGTCGGAACCAACTTGATGGCACCTAACAACAATGTAATTTATCATGTTAACAGAATAAAGGGAAAAAAAATTCATTTCAGCAGATGCACAAAAAAGTGTCTGACAAAATTCACCAATTATTCTTCATAGAAACTATTAGCACATTAGAAATAGAACTAGTTTTTCTTATTCTGCTACAGGCAACCTAGCAAAAACCTACAGCAAACATTATACTCATGGGTGAAACATTCATTCCCTTACAAAACAGGAACAATGAAAGAATGCCTACAGTATCCCTTTTCCTGAATATTGTAGTGGAAGTTCTAACCATCACAATAAGACAAGAAAAAGAACTAAAAGGTATAAAAGTTGGAAAGGAAGAAAAAAAGTATTATTATTTGCAAATGGTATAGCTATCTACATAGAAAATGCCAAAGAATCTACAACTTAACAATAATAAAATAGTTTAATACAGTTGTTGAATATAGGACAAACATAAAAAGATTAAGTAAATTTCTATTTATAACCAGTTTAGAAAATACCATTTTACAAAATATACCATTTATAACAGCTGCAACAGCAACAACTATATAAAGTACCCAAATACCTAAGAAAATAGAAGACAGTCTTGCGAAAGACGCACAAAAACCTTTAAGGAGAAAAGTTTAAAACTTTAAAGAAACAGAGAAATACACTCAGGTATACGAAAGTTAAATATTATAAAACTGTCAATTCTCTCCAAGTATATCTATGAAATGCAATTAAATTCCAATAAAAATTCCAAAGGCTTTTTCAGGGAACTTAATAAACTGATTCTAAGTATATATGAAAAAGCAAAGAAAAAGATAACCAGGAAAACTCCTAAAAAAGGAAAAGTCAGGTAACAAAGTGATAATGATGCAAAGAAACCAATGAAGCAGAATAAAGACTCAGAAATAGACCCCTACATAGAAGAAAACGTAATATATGACATAATTTGGATTACGTATCACTGAAAAAAGGACAAATTTTGTTAACAACTGGTGCTGAGGGCACTGGTTATACATACTACCTTACACCAAATTAAAAATAATTTTAGCTAGATAAAGAACTTAAATAAAAAGCAAAACTTCAAAAATATTTAAGCAAAAATATAAAAGAATATCTTTATGATCTTGAGAAGAGAAGAATTTCTTCAAGACTAAAAATACAAATCATACATGGAAATACTGATAAATTCAATTACATTAAAATTAAGAATATCTGTTCATCAAACACAATACAGTGTGAAATGATAAGCCTCTGAGTGACGATATATGTTAAAACATGTAGCATGCAAAGGGTTAATATACAGACTATATAAAGAATTTCTGTGAATCAATAAGAAGAGTACAAATGACTCAATGATAAAATGGGCAAACAAAAACTATAAGCAGGTATTTCATATAATGAAACACATAAGGGGCCCTTAAACATATACAAAGATGTTCAACTTCACAGCAATCACAGAAATATAAATTAATACCACAATGAGATATCATCCCACATTCACCAGACAAGCAAAAATTAAAAGACAATACCATGTGTTGACAAGGATGTAGAACAATGGAGATTCTCATCTACTGCTGGTGGGAGAGTAAATTACTATAAGCACTTTGGAAAACAGTTTTGCATTCCCCAGTAAAACTGTAGGTACATTTACCCTACAATCTACCTGTACCACTCCTCGGTAAAGACTCCTGAGAAACTACTGCATGTGTGCACCAGTATATGTATCTGAGAATGTTTGAAACTGCAAAAAAGTCAAATGAGCCAAAAGCTCATCAAAGTAGAATGGATAAATTGTAATATATTCACCTTGAAATAGATTACTATATTTTTCAGTAAAATATGAAGCACCACAAATACTTGAATAAACATAGATGAATCTCAAACACAATGTAGTGCAAAACAATGTCAAGTAAAAATATGTCAGTGAGTTTCCATATAAATGAAGTTCAAAAGCAAAAGCAAACATTTATACTGCTGAAGAGTATATACATATGTGGTAAAACTATTAGAAAAAAAAAAAGCAAAAGAATGACTAGATAAATAGACAAATTTATGATAGTGGTTACCCCAGGCACTTGTGGAGAATAACAGAAAATTACCTGGTGGTGATAATATTCCTTGAAGGAGCTTTCAAAGGTACTGGTCAAGTTCTAATTTTTAGATTGTGCTATGGGTTGATTCACAGGTCTTTATTATTATTATGTGAATGTGTGTGTATAACATTTACACCCTTTTGTATACATATTTCATAATAAAAATAAAAGAATTTCAGGATATATAAGGATCAACAAACCTTATAGAAGTAGTGATGATAAAGGAGTCAAATTACCTTTGATTTAAATTAATTGTACCTGATGTGAAAATAAACCAAGTCATTCACGTATTAAGAATCTAGCTCTGAAGATGTAGAGACTGGTTCATTATTTAAGTTAGTTTAAATTGGAAAAATGACCTCAATAGTTATGAATGATTTTAAGAGTTCAAACGAAAGCAGGGTCCATTCTGGCCATTCAAGGAGACGTATTCATATTTCTGACTTGACCAGAGAACATGAAATTCAAACATGTTGTGATCAAAATTATTTACATTTTCATATAATAACTTCAAAATCAAATTCATCTTTTCACCAAAAGTTACTAATTTCTCAAACAAATCATAAATTTTAAGAGGCTGGATTGAAAATTCAATGCTACCTGTCATTCCGTGACTTCGCATTCTTCCCATCTTGTACTCTGCTTTCAGAGACGGTAGAAGTGCTGCCCCAATGGCTATACCATCTAACATGGCGCTGAACTTCAGAACAACAGGCTTCTTTTCTAAGCCTTCAGGGAGCTGAGGAAATTCGTTTGTTTCAACTGGAGTTTGATTAACACTCGTTGGGGTTTTTTCAGAAGGTAGAGGGGTTGCAATATCTTCTTTTACAGGCTGTGGGCTATAAATCAAAACAGATAAAATAAAAAGAAACACAATTAGAACAGTTACCAATTTATTGTGTAAAGTTATTGGAGTTCTCAGTAAGAAATAGCAAAAATATACTGTGAAGAGATGTTTTCTTTCTAATACCAAAGCACATTAAGACCTCCTAAAACAGTCATTAAGCAATGACAATCTGTGAAAGCAAACAAGAACAAGATAAACTCCTGGAATGTTGTATCGCCAAGCCTGTTCATAGCATTCATGCAAAACTGAAATTTAAACTCACGTTTATCTGATTCCAAATTCTGTGACTTTAAACTTAGGCAAACTACTACTGACAGTAATACTATCACTAGTATTATTATTAGTAATAATAACACCACCACCAACAATGATTATTTGAGTACTTACTATGGGCTGTGTTCTGTTCTCAGTGTTTTGTATGATTTATCTCATTTATTCATTGTCCTCAAAAAACGCTTTGGGTAGGTACTATTATCTCTACTTTGAAAATGAAGAGGCAAAGCTAGAAAGTGGTGAAACCAGGATTTGAATCTAGTTGGTCTGGTTCCAGAGTATGATTTCTTAACTACTACACTCTACTGCCAATACATTATTTAAAAAAAAAAAAAAAAAAGAAATTCCTTAGGGTATTTTAAAACTAAGGTGCATATACACATTCAGAATTCCATATTCCATTCACAGGAGAAACATATGTAAATTATTACTGCTTGGTCAACTTCAGACATGAATTAATATTACATAAGAATTAAGGATCTAGATAGAAAAACTGGAAAAACCACTGCTTTAGGACATCATCAAAAGAGATACTAATGTTTTCTACTTTATAGAATGGCAAAAAGGAAACATAATATAAAACAAAATTTTAACCTTTTTACACATATTTTTATTAGTTATTCATTAATTACACTTTTTGAGACCAGGTATAAGGCTCAGCAATGCAGACCATGAACAAGGGCTATATACAGAGGGAACAAAGGTTAATGTGCAAAAATCTGATTTACTAACCCTTAAAATGTATGTAGCATGGTCAAATCTTGCACTGAACTATGTACAATAATTTCATATAGAGGACAGCATAAAACCATACATAGGACAGAAATGGTCACTAATTTTTTAAACCTGTGCAGAAGTAAATTTCAATGAGTTCAAAATAAAGAATTTGTCAGGTTTATTAATACCTCTTATGATACCTGGAAATCTCTAGGAGCTCTTAAGCTTTATTTATACAACTTGGGACACTGACAACTGCATTTCTAACATAGTACTTTAATGATATCCAATAGGATTCTCCCATGACTTGTCTTGGTCACTCTCCACCTGCATCAGTGTCCATAATGGTCAATACTTAGAAGTAACCCCTTATTTACCTCCAAACTTTTGTTAACACAGCAAAGAGTGCCCCGAGGTATTAAACAGAATCAGAGAACTTGAAGAAATAACTTACGCTGTAGAAGGTTGTCTGATGAGGTCTGAGATCTGTTTAGATAGTTGGTGAGAACTTCGAACCATCATGCTATGTAACGTGGCAGGATGCTGAGGAATGTTGATGCTGATAGCTCCTACTTTGAAAACAGCAGCATTGTTTGTCTTCAACCCTCTCTGGGCACTGTAGAGGGCTTGGGACTTGGCAATACTACATTTCACTACAGTTCTATCAATAGAGAAGGAGGACCGTGAAAATATATCCAAATAAAGAGAAATTTTGAAAAAAATAATTTGAGAGCAAGAGAAATACTTGTAGGTCTTTCAAAGACATAAACTGCTTAAGATTTTTCATGCTTTTAAATCATATATTGAAGAAATTATGTTTTCCAAAAATAATGAAATACATTTACTTTACACTGTTTGCACTGAATAATATTTTATTTCTTTAATAGGAAGAGGTTATACAAGAAAATAAGTGTGTGCTTACATATAAGTAAAAGCATGAATACTGGCACATTACATACGTGCATGCACGCACAAGACACAAAATTTCATTTTGATTTTTCTACTATTCAGACCTCCTCTTTTCTTCTCCAGCTTATTTTAGGGATCTATATAACCACTAAAGCCTAGGAAACCCTATAGGGCAGGTCTACTCTGTCCTGTAGGGTCGTTATGAGTTGGAATCAACATGAAGGCACGTGACAACAACAACCTAACCTCTAAAGAGATAAAAAAAAATAACACCAAACCTGTTGTCTTCGCGTCGATTCCAACTCACAGTGACCCTATAGGACAGAGTAGATCTGCCCATAGGGTTTCCAAGGAGTGGCTGGTGGAGTCAAACTGCTGACCTTTAGGTTAGCAGCCGAGCTCTTAACCACTGTGCCACCAGGTCTCCTCTAACAGGATCACAGACACTTGAATGTGAAGAGAAAAAAAGAAAAAATACTCGCTACACTCCTTAAAATCTAATCCATCAGAGAGTCAAAAAATTACTCTAACAGTCATCCAATATGTTAAAAGAAATTGACAGGAAGACATGTAATTTGTATTTTTTTTTTAATCTTAATATACTTTCAATGAATAGCAAAGAAATGATGGAAGTCCAATTCATAATGAGTACGGCTACTATTCTTGGTTATGAAGTAGTAAGCTTTACTCATACAGACTTTCTAAAAGCAGAGATATCATCTTTCTTGATTTCCTGCTCTCTGTTTCCAGTGCCTAGCACACTGCCTGGGACATGGTCGGCATTCACCGAGTATTTGTGAAACGAAGAGCAGAAATGAGTACAGCAGAATGCCTCTCACACAGCAACTGTGGAATTCCACAGACAGCATACTATAGCACATCTATGTAGAAGCTATGTTTGAAGCAGTCATTGATATATACAATGGAAAGGCCCACACCAATGAACTGCACCATCAGAGGATCGGATAATAAAAAGTTAGCTTCTAATATAAATGTTATCTTTCAAATGGGCAAAAGATTCTTGACAATAGATTGAGCAAAACACAAAATACAAATTTCATATTAACTACAGGTCAGTTCACATATATCTCTGCTCAGGCTGAGAGGATTCAGCAATTATTTATAGTCTCAAGGATATAAAGAATCAATTTATTACATTTAACTTCTATTAGAAAAACGCTAAAAACTGTTAACAGTGGCTCTATCAGATGTCTTGATTATTGACAGTGAAATCAAGGTATTATATAAAATTCAAAAAGGATTACTACAGAACTACACTGCTTTCTTCTTCAAAGTCAACTACTTCTCCGAAAACATCCTGATTAAAAAAAGGTATTCTACGGAATTGGTCTGTCAGCATGAGGGTAGGCTCTGGAATGTTGACAAGTTATTGAATTTTGCATCTTTTCTAATATAATAAATAAAACCACCGTCTGCCACCAATAATATTTCAAGTTCAGTTTCAACATGAGCCAGAACACACTAGACGGTGCTGAAATGTCAACAATTCACCACGTGTGAACACCAACCATCTATTAAGCACATTTACCAGAAAATCTGTCCTGTTATCATGACAGCCAAGAAGTTCTGTATTTAATTCACAAGTTTATCTTTCTAACCTACAGAAATATGTTTGTCTAAATATTAGCTGATACTTTTAATTATATAAGCACATACACAACACTGGATTTTCAATTATGTACCAAAATTCCGAATGGGGCTAACGGTTCTCCTACAATAGGATCTACTGTGGTAATTCCAGTGGAAATTTCGATGTGAGGGACTTCAGGAGCTCTGTGTTGCCCAACTCCAGATGGCCTCATTCAGACAGCAGTCTCTGTAAATGATACCCACCACTACAATGTACATGCTGTTCTTTGGAGTTGGACCACATGGTAGTCCTACACTGACCAAACTAAATCGGAAACTGTAGAGATTAACTCTACAAAATTTTGACTAACTGCTGTGAAACTGCACAGGGAAAATATGGAAGGAGACCCTGACTGAGGAATTAAACAGTTTATAAGCTGCCAGCATGAATTATCTATTCATAATTATAATTCTCAAAGAGAGATGTCACCTTATTTAGGCCAAACAACATGTAGTATACATAAGACTTTTACACAAGAAAGTAGTTGCCTAAATCTCTCTAAAGTGAAGACTATAAAAACGTGCATCATACAAGACATGTATGATAAATGTGAAAAGTCCACCTCAAGTGACCAAGAAGTCTGGTTAAAGAATCCATTGACAGTGGTAGTCGACTTTGCAAAGTTCTAGATCTACTGTGAGCCTCAGTTACAATGACCACAGTGCCTAATCAGGTCAGGGCCTTCTCCCACCTTCTTTTACATCCTGAGTCCAGGGAGTAGGGCCTTAGAGGCAGGCCAGGGCCTTCTCCCACCTTCTTTTACATCCTGA